CGCATTGTCCTTTCTGCCTTCGGAATGTTCTCATCCCTTTTCTTCTGTCTCCCTTAAACGGTCTTCCTTTTCTTCTACCTTTGCCTGGTCCTCATGTCACTCCGCAGGAAAATCTTCTCGGAGTTGTGTAGTGCGACGGAAGGGGCACTAACACAGTCTTCGCCTTTTTCTTCGATGGCTAGGGCTTCCAGGAGTTCACGGGCGAGTTGATTTTTATGTCGCCCCACAATGCTTACGTTGCACAAGGTTGCCTCGCATTGGCATGCGCGACAATGGGCTGCGAGGTGTCCTGCTGCTGTCACGTTTCGTAGAGATGTGGCATGTTCTCTGGTTCTATCATTGATACAGCGATTATGCATTAACTAGTTATGGTACAAATGTCTATATGCACACGAATCAGGTCACATTTTAAAATGTATGAACTTGGCCCAGATACAAGGCACGCACATGGAAGCAAAATACAAGATGCTTTCCTTCCAGTTTATCGAAGTATTTCATTGACAAGAGGATGCTCACAAGTTATACTTCACGGCACACGTCACACAAACGGCACTGTGTATGATGTACACCAATCTATAGGGTTGTGCGAATATTCCAAATTTCGAATAGTTGCTCCGAATAATACACTATTCGATATTCGCTTCGAGAAGAACTGCACTATTCGTGTTTTTCGAAGTGTTGATTGCGGCGGGTTGGTCCCGTTGAGTGTGCTTCGTACCAAGTACCGGTGCGCTGCGGAGAAGCAATACCCGCGAAAGCGAGCTGCGCAGGTGTTGCTTCTCCGCAGAGCACCATTGCTAAGTAAAAAGCGCACTCAACGGGGTAACCCGCCGCGATAAACACTTGGAAAAGTATGAATATCGTAATTGCGTGCTTGGAAGTAAAGCATACATTCAATGGCGGGATGGTGCACCTGTGCCGACTGTATTTGAAATTAAATAAAAACTTTGTGAGTGTGGATATCTACATTGCAGTAAAAGTTTTAAAATTAAACTGTTATGCAAGAGCTTATACTATGTTAGGCAGAGATGCCCTGAGAACCTGCGTTCATCATACATGATTCTTTCCTTTTTAACTCGAGATTAAAGAAAGAGTATTTTATATAGCAAGATTCGTAAATCCACTCAATTGGGTATAGTTGGGCATCTCTACAGGATTCAGTTTATGTCGAATCCGTCGTTTACTTGCCATCCCAAGACAATCAGACCTTCTAAGGTCACAATTTATAAGTATAGATAAATTAAACTTAGCTTATAAATGAACAAGTGGAACAACCTTCACAAGTTTAGCTGGGTTTTGTCTAAGCATTATGCTATAATAGTGAAAGGCGTGGAACAAGTATTCGATATTTGAATCGAAAATATTCGGACAAAACCACTATTCGCTTCGAATTCGCTTCGAACTCAAAATCCACTATTCGCACAAGACTACCAATCTACATCATGCGCGATCTTTTAAAGCAACCCTTTTATGTATAATACGTGTTTTGCACACACAGAAAAAGCTATTGAAGTTTCTTTCAATAAAGAAACAACAAAAAACATTAGAGTATAGTATAACTGTAAGCTCCTGAGCAATTGCCCACTCGAAATTTAAAGACAATTATGTAAAACTGGGAGATGGGTGCTCCTTAGGTCAACAATATGTAAAGATATGTCCTTTGTGCATTTTCCGTGCGTTACAAAATTGAGGGGTGGGCGCTTATTGTGAATGGGTAGACGCTCGGTATTTTAGTAGAACTTTTTTTGGACACTGTGCACATTACTATGTGCAATTTTGGGAGGCAGATTCTTTCCGTCGAGCACCAGTGACGTAGCTGTGTGTAGAGATTTGTGTTTATCTTTTGTCCCCCTTCTCCAGGGATTATTATCGTCATCCTTGTCCAGCTCGCTCGCACCTTTGCATTGATTGCATTATAATCAGACATTCTTACTTCTAGGCTGCAAGTCAACACTCTCTATGCTTATGCACGAGTGCTTTTCTTCTTATGCGTCGGGAGCAAGTCCAAACTCTCTTATTGTAGATTTACTTTGTCTCGGCGAACAGCTTGCCAAGAGCTGTCGCAAGTATCCATTGAAAGGACGCCATTATCATTAGCTATGCGGTGCTCAGCCAAGTGGGACAACCTTGAGGTAAACCCGCACCTCTGCCAAGGAGAGCGATGTAAGAGGGATGCCCAAGCATATGTCCATCCTTATTCATAAGGCTTCAGAAATAAATGAGCACTAATAAGTTAGCATAATAAGTAGAACGGTGATGGAACTCTATAGAATGTATGGATTTCTGAATCCATCAAGCTTAAGGAGATCTTAAAAAAACACACAAAATTTTTTTTTTAAAGGGCCTAAATAGGACATTTTTTTGTGTTAACTTTTCAACAAAAAAGAACAAACAAAAATTAGCAATATTTTTGTTGTTAGACACAATTTAGGTGGGGGTAGCCTTGCTCTATACTCCTTCACCTTTAAGTTGACACTATGATGGGAGCTACGTGCCTGCTGGACCAAACAGCCTACCTCTCTCATCACCTGACCTGGTTCTCCGTGCATGGGTATGGTGGGGAGCGTGATGACGTGGCGAAAGAGAGGCGTGTGACTGGTCTAACAAGGATGCGGCTTCCACTGCAGTCTCAGCTTAGAAGTGAACAAAGTACAGGCCTCGCCCGGTGCTAACAAAACTAAGCACCTTTTCTTGGCTCTCATTGATTGGAGAGATGATTGAGATATAAAATTGTTTCTCCACGCTGTAACAGCAATCATATCGACAATAATTTTATGTTTGAGAAACAACTAATCTAGGTAGAGTCATTACTGTCCTCAAAAATATCCTGAAATTGCCTTTCTGCCTCGGCTTCAAACGACAACAAACATGGCTGCCGGCATTTGCGGCACGCTATGCTCGATGAGCTTGTTTATTTTCATCAGCGTGAGTCGTTCTGCGTTCACCGCGGTGTTTTGAGGAAGATCTTCTCAACTGACTTGGTTTGCAGCAAACAACTGTTACACGCATGCGTCTTCAAAAGTGCTTTGCGGGTTCGTAGTGGGACTGGCCTAAGCCTAGCTTCCCACGTCAACTATGTTGCTTGATCTGGCTTGATTTGCTCCTTTGCGCGTGTTGGTGCCGAGTAAAGGTGTTCACTCCCATAAAAGCAGTACTGCTGCTCTGTGAATTGTGCAACCGGTGTGGTTGCAACCATGGTTTAATACCGAGACGATACCTACACAGGTAAGAACTTGTGAGCCCTTTGGCTGGAGGCAATTGGGTGCTCGGCTCGCATATCAAGTTCGTCTATGTTCCTGTGATTTCGCATAAAAATACAAGTAGCTTTCAAGTTTTGCACTGCACCTGGCCTACCGAGGTGAATATTTTTAAGTTGTATTTTAACTGTGGGTCATGATGCTCGCCCACCTTACTTGCGGGAGCTATGTGAAAAAAATAACAACAGTAAAGATGGAAGGACTGTATATTTAATTTGTTAATTTTCTCCGTCCTCACAGTTGCTTATTAGCGCACATCGACAAACGCCGACAGACACTTGTATTGCACCGTGGTGCATCTTCCGAGCGTTGCAGAATTTTTTAGATGGGTGGAATAGCAGACGGATGGACGCGAAAGCAGACGGCGGCACACAGTTTTCGTGTCCGCCTCTCACACGCATTGCAGATGACGATAGACAGTTCTGAAATAGCAGATAATGCCGGAAGCTGCTGCTGCGCGTCTGCTCGCACGACTAGTGGGTGGTGTCAGACGCCAAACTAGATGCACCAGATGTCGCAAAAGGGAGACACTAGGCTTCTTAGCATGTTCAGCCAAGCAGCCAAGCCAATCCAGTAGTAATGGGCGGGGCTTAGAGCGTGCCGTGACCTCTACCTATATTGTGTCCGACATAAATATTGCACGAAATTTCATTTTATCTTGTGGAAAAATTACTGAAAAAATTATGTGTCCTATCTATGCCCTTCAAAAAAAAAGCCACACAAAAAAAGAATTTGATACAAAAAAGTTGATTTTGAAAAATGCCATATTACATAGGCAAACATCTAGAGAGCACTCCCAGAAAGTTTCATTTGTCTACACTGCATACGGTAGTTATTTTTTTTAAAATTATTTTCAGTTCTTTAATGCTAAAGAAAAGGTAGAGGTTTGAGCACCTTGAATGTGTTTTTCTGCGTTCCAATTGATTGGCATAAACTTCACTTAAAAAATCGATTGTTTCAAGCCGGTTACTATGAACTCAGATTTGTCATTTTCATGTTCCTTTAATATAATAAACTGTAACTGGCAAAACTGCAATTTTGTGAAACTTTTTTTTATAGCAACCGGCAACTGGTGCTTTACTGTGCATACCACCAGCAAAATATGTGGTTATCAACACTATTTCTCAATTATAAATTAATTGAGCATACTCTATGCCAAGCTATGCTTTACTTCGTTCTGAGGTTATGGTACCCCATAAAATTGACTCACAGGGCTGAAACTTTGCCCTCCTTCTATATGACTAAAAAACATCACCTGCAAATTTCACGCTGATTAAGTGAGCAACTTAAAAGTCGACATTCTCAAGGAGTGTCCTCCTTTAAACTGACTAGTAACCAAGATGCTGAAGCATTTTCTTGTCGGAAACACTTAAAACTTACTAGTACTCCCTGAACATAGTGGGATTTAACTAGAATTCTGAATTAACCGAAATGGTAGAGTGGCTTACTGTTGGCTGATAATTAATGAGAGATTCTGAAGGAAACCTCAAAGTAGCAATGTGGCATTTCGGTTCCAAATCTTCTCCGAGTAAAGAGGTGTAGCTTGCTGATAAAATGTGGCTTTTCCTCAAAATTGACTTTTTAGGCTTATACAATGTGCCAAGGCGTGCCTTGCCCCAACATGTTAAATTAAAGTGCCGTGTGCGGCGAATTGGGGAACCTCGGTACGAGGCAGGCTCACAGGACACCAATGCAATGAGAGTCAATGACAAAGATGAAATATAGAAAAGGAATGGGCTCTACCTGTTTTGCACCAGGAAATCTACAATGTGAAGAGAGGTGCCATCTTCTTGAGCAACGGCCACGTGAAGCGCAGTGTCGGCTGTGTTTTGCTGGAAGCAGACACGTAAAGTGTTTTATCTACATTTTGACTGAGACACGCACTGTGCAGCATTTGCTTTACACACCCAACTGTTAAAAATGGCAGTAAAAAAAGAAAAAAAAGGTCAGTGGCATTTGCCTTTCTTTAAGGGGGGACATGGGTCTTGGGAGCCAAAAACTTCGTAAAACTGCATTCTTTTGAAAACGGCAATGGCTGTTGTTCTTTTGAATCTACCAGGCTTCTAATTTTGTGGATGAATATTTGAGCTATAAATCAATTTATGATCTCTATGCGGGCTGAATGTGCATTAAAGTTAACTCTAAAACATTGTTTTCACACAACACAATTTTCGGACTCGTTGAAAATTTGCAGAAAGGATATCTCAGCATCTAAAGCAGTCAGAAATATAACCTTTCTTGAAATGTGTTGCTAAATGTGTGAAGCATACAATGTTGAGAGCAGATTTTTTAATGTAAGTATAGAAAATTTTTTATTTGATCTTTTGTTTTATTAATTGTTAGCCATGCATTGAGCACTGAACTTCAAAATGCTGTGAAATCACTAATAATTGCTTTATCCTAAAAGTACTTCCAACATTGTATTCTTTACACTTCGCAGTATCTGGCCATGTGTTAAAAAGGATATTTTGTTGAGCAGCTTTTTCCATATCATTCCTCCAAACAAAGGCAGGCAAGTTTTACTCATTTTCAGGAAAATTCTACTGACTGAAGAAATTACCAGATATATGAAATAAGCACAAAAAGCTGAACAAGCGTGTGCAGTTTCATTGAGTTTGGTCATAAAATAAGAAAAAAAGCTCCAAGACCAGTGTTCCCTCTTAAGTTCATGCTTGTCTTGACCTTTAACGAACCAAAGAAAAGTTTCACATCGGCTGGCTGCAGATGAAGGGCAAGGTGTTTACCCAGCATTGACACTAATCGCAACACACTGTGCGCAACAGTTTTATCAGCCTCGCGGTAGCACAGCATGTTTCCAAAGCCACGCGCTCCAGCGTTCCCCCGATACTGTTTGTGATATTACTGAGCATGACTGAGCCGGTGCAAAGAGGCAACCAGTTTTTTTCGTATTGTTTTTTTTAGAATTCAAAGGTTGTCATCAAAACTGCCAGTGTGGCACAGATATGTGGAAATATGTGCCACCTGTGATTGCTTTTATTTAGTCATCCAGATTTCCAATAAACCACATAAATTCAGCTGTCGAAGTTGGTTCGGGGTGCTATCTTGCGGCACGGTAGGTGACAGAAGCTACAGGCCACCTCGAAAGTATGGGAAAATACTATACTCTGTCCAAAGGAGACACTAAGCTACACATTTCTTCAGGAATTTACACCCTTTGCTTGCCTTATATTTTCTTTTTCTTTTGAAATTTGTCAAGGCCTAGATTAACAATCACTGGGCCTTTGGGGACATAAGGTGTAAACAAGAAGTGGGTTTACCATACCCGGCATCAATTATTTTGTGCTACGTCGCCAGGACTACCATAGCTTCCAAAGTGCTACAGCCCTGCACTGTTGCGAAATCTTCCACCTCATTTCCATGCGCTTGCACAAGCAGCTTTGATGGCATGGGAACATTGTGGAAGCTATGCAGCCCTTGACAAATAGTTGATGCCAAGTGTAAAAGTATCCTTATTGTGCTTTTGTAGAGAGTCAATCAAGCATGTGCTACGGCCAGAGGAAGAGTAGAAGGTGCTCACGTAGTTTGGAAGCACGGCGGTGAGAATGGCTCCCTCTGCAAAGGCCTGCAGCAGCTGGTAGAGGTGTCTTGCCATTACAGCATGCCCCAAGTCTTGCAACAGGTCATTCTCGTCCGAGCACGTCTTCACGGCGAACTTGCGCTCCAAGTACTTTGCACGAATAAACTCGCATCGTTCCTCCCTGGGCATTTCGGACAAAATGGGCACTTGAATATTTCATCTTCTTCTTATCTTAGCTCAAAATTTTTTTCAAAAGTACACCGTAAGACGTGCATTTACAAACTGGGTTCCTAGGAGCCCTGGGTTTCCCTGAGCTCCCAGATTTCCTTGACCACCCCTGCACCTCAGTAAGGGTGCAGGGGTGGTCACGCATTCCTCGAGATTGGGAAGTCTGAGAATCCTAGCGCATAAAAAGTAACTTGGGAAAGGTAATACAGAAAGAACATCACACAATAGAAGAAGTTACATAAATGAGGCCAGAGCCCCGAATCTGCCACATGGGAAAGCAAAAAAATAGCAAGGCAAAGCATATACAGTGATGGAAGCGGCATTAGACCTTTTGTAGCAGGTTCTGTAGCAGGCAAAACATTGGTTCGGAGCAGTCACTGATCCTTTCGGAGTAGAAGCACGCACCAGCTAGCACAACAATTGAAGATGAAAAAGTGATGGCATCGCTAAATGAGTTCACCTTTGATAATGACTGAAGGCTCTTTGATACTGGAGCATCGTACTTTTAACCTTTTGTAATGAAACAGATAGGGCGCCAAAGGAACAGAAAGCAATCTTTTTAGAAATAAGCTCATCAGAGAAGGTCCCATTTACAATGGGTATTAAAAATTGATGAAAAATTATTCATAGTGCAACACTTCAGTTGAGATAAAGCTTCTCTCCCCTCACTCTTTTACAGCCGGTAGTTTATTTAGCTTGCAGTATATCTAAGTTCTGTAAAATGCTTGCGAAAACCAACTTGTCTATCAACAAACGATGCGTCCCCGAAGTTTTATGAACCTACCAAACTCAAGACTTTAATATTATTAACTGCCAAAACAACCACCCCGAAATATTATAAAATCCTATGCTTGTGCAAGTGACACTGCTCCTTAGCGGTGTTGGAACCATAGTCAAGTCAAAGTTCGCTGTTATTTCGATCGACCGCTGTACGGGAACAACCTTGACTATCACTTATTCAAATATAGACCTGCATTTTTTTTTTTTCGGCGCAGATTTTTAAAATTAAAGATCAACTTACCACCAAGACAAAGAAAAACTTTCAGCCTTTCCATTCTGGTGAAGAAGGAAGACCAGCGAAGCTGTACTATGGTCAGACGACCTCAAGGACGACTTCTTAGATGACCTCAAGGATGACGCCTAAGGACGACGTCTAGGACGACCTCAAGGACGATATCTAGGACGACGCTTAGAGGACGACCTCAGGAACGACATCCAGACGACCTCAAGGACGACGCCTAGGATGACGTCTAGGATGACCTCAAGGACAACTTCTATGACAATTTCGAAGGCAATGTCTAGGACAACCTTAAGGACGACTTCTGGGACGACCTCTGGGACGACCTTAAGAATAACTTTTAGGACGACCTTGAGGACAACCTCTCGGACAACGTCAAGGACGACCTCAAGGACAACTTCTAGGACAACCTCAAGGACAATTTCAAGGACGACATTTAGGACGACCTCAAGGATGACTTCTAGGATGACCTCGAGGACGACATCTAGGACAACGCCTAGAGAAATTCAGCCTTTCCACTCTGGTGAAAATCAAAGTGGAAAGGCTGGAAAGGTTGTCGCCATCTATGAGCAAGGCCGGCAAGCCGATTGTCTGGTTGCCGCCGTCGCTCATAGATGGCGGTAGCTGTCCCGAGTTTTGTGTCTACATTTTTTCGCAGGGGACACGATCCTGGGGAAACTAGCCCTTAACAGCTCCATTGTAAAAAAGTAGACTTGGAATAGTACTGAGCATAGTTACTGAGCCTATCGCGCTAACCCAGGTGCTCACCTGTCAGCCGCTACACCTAGCACTCCGGTCCAAAGCGGTGAAGCTCGGCACGAGTGCACTTGTGAGAGGCGGCACGGAGATATGCAGAGACATGATAATTAAGTGATCTCATCAGTAGTATAAGACACCTGTTCTGTCTTATCACAGTAGCCGGCATCCCACTCCTTGGCAATGTTTTCTTTCAGCTTTTTGCTCCTCACATCGTCTGGAAATTTATACAATGTCGACGACCAATCCCCCAGCGCGTCAATCAACCAGTGCGCTTGACGAGCAATCTCAATACCTCGTTTCACCTTAATTTAAAATGCAGCCACTGCTACCAGCCAACCAACCATCGCCAATGGCATTCGTCCATCTTCCTGTGCGTGGTCTTTTAGCGACTAAACGAATCAAATGCAGTCGCAGCGAATGTCCCTTGACTTGCGCTTTCAGTACGAGTTTGTGGTTGTGTGTGTTCAAGCCTTTGACTGTACTTTGACTTAAGATAAAACAAACTATGTGGTGAGTAGAGACGCTCTGAAATACATATTTGTACCATTTTCGTTTCTTCCTACTGCCTTAAATATTAGTTGACCAATAATATTTTTTTTTCTTTTTTGCTTTGCCCATCTTGGTGCAGGTGTGGCGCAATTCTTAGCAAAAATAGCACTTTGGCGCAAGACGTAGCAGACCCTCATTCATGGCGCACATTGGTGTAAATTGCGCGACCACTTCCATCGCTGCATAGAGAAAAGTCAGTTTTTACAGACATTTCTTTACATCAGTATCTAAAATGCCTACACTAGTGCATCAAGCAACTTCAGCTTTGCTTTGCCATCACTACATTCACATTGTTAGCAGAGAGATGTTCTATTGCAACTACTAGGAACAACAAACTCACATGGGACTACTTGGACTGGGCTTCCTTGACTGTGTCATCGTAGCCTCCATAGTCTCGTTGAAGCCATTATTTGTCATCACTCTTGCCAGCTGGAGGAATGTGGAAGATCACACACGTGGGCATTAAAGGGGCGGTGCAACGATTTTATGATTAAAAGAATTTGCATCTCGTCATTTTTAAGTTGTTCATCGTGTCCCAGAGGATAGAGAAAACACTTCCTGCATTAAAAATGTCGCGATTCCACTGCATAATCGCAAAGCAAAAGTCGAGCTTTTCCCCCCACCTGCAGCCCCAAGTGGCAGCCGAAGGAACTACGGCGGAAAGATTACGTGACCTCGCTCGGCTCTAAGCCGCAGCATAGCGCCCGCTAATGCACGCAGAGAGAGGGAGGAGAAGCGTCCTCCGAGATAGCACACGGGAAGCTACACGGCACTCCGAATGACGTCACTGGGAGTGCGACAAGGTGTGACCCTGAAGACTGGGAGTGAGTTGAGGGGTGCCCGAAATGCCAGTCTTTATCTTTTTTTTACGCAACAACTAGGAGACGCAGGCGAAATCGGTTTTCTGCTCTTTACTTCAGAAGTGTCGGGGGAAACTTCCAGAAATCTTTGACCAAAGTCCGAAAATCGTTGCACCGCCCCTTTAACAGTCTATACTTTGGAGCTATGGATACTGGTCAGCGAGAACTTGGCTGTCTTTCACGTGCAATTTAATAATACTTCCCATTGTTTATAAAAGAACAACATATGCAGTCATAAAGGGGAGATGCGGGTCGAAAAATTATGTTTATTTTGGAAATATAAGATTCTTTTTATTTTGCTCGTTTTATTATCCTCAAACATTCTACTTTCGCAAGTAAAAACAAATTAAAACAAAACTCGCGATGAGAAATTAGGCAAAAACGTGTCCGACCAACTCGCGGTGGCTCAAAACATCGCAAGTTTGCACAAATACCGGCCATCTAAGAGAGGCTGTTGCTTAAGACAGTGGCGCTTTCTATGTTTCTCCGGTTCAATTTGCGACAGACAGCACTGATAACCGTGATTATCGAGTTTTAAAATGTCGAAGCAAGCACAAGTTTTAGGAAAGGCAGCGCAAAAGTAAGCGGAGAACACCAGTGGAGGCAGTTTTACCGAGGCATGCTAAGCTTAACCGCGTCAAGGGCCACTGTTGTAACGCTCCGTTCACGTGTGTCGGCGCTTCGAAAAAAAAGATAAGGTTTTTCGAAAATGTTTGCAGAACAAGTGGCTACGGCTCCGCGAGTTCAGTGATGTGCGACACCGGCACGCTGACGACACTTCTGAGCGATGCGATCTGCCCTGCCACGAGGCCGGCTGGGAGACGCAAGAGGTTTTCATTGTCTCTCAAACTACATTTAGAGACGAGCGAGTGCCTCGAGTCAGTTCCTTCTTCGAATTTTCACTTCAAAACGTGTTGCAACACATGGAGACATAAGCGCAAAGCAAAGCTACGACAGTGGGAGCTCACACAAGTTTTGGCGTCCGTCAACTTGAAAGCCGTAAACTTCGGTGCGATTCTCAGCCCGCTAACACCACTACGCCGTACGTAAGGCCTTACCTAGTATAACAAAGTTTATGCCGCTGCCACGAAGACTGCCATCCAAAACCTCGTAAAGGCCGAAACACTGATGTGGGAAGAGCAGCTAATGTAACGGTGTGCGATGGCACATGGCACAAGAGCTGCCAGAAAAGTTGCGACTTACAGTGACGGACGGTTTTTATTGACTCTGGATGACTTCTGGACACCCTACCTATGTTATATCAGAATTTCATGTACTAACTGCAGTCAATGTCTAAATTAGTATAGATCTTTTGAACTTTCAAATGCCCTTTCTCTCATTTTGAAAGCTTTGTGCTGTCTCCTCAGTTTGTGCACACAGTTTTCAGCACTACTTAAGGTCTCTAATTCATAACGGAAATTTTTTTGTATATTAGCTTGAGGATAGTACATAGAGTGTAAATATCTATTTGTAATTGCAATATCTTAATAATGTTTTTGCAAATTTTATGCAACTTCTAAAAAGCTTCATGAAGTCTTCATTTTTTCTCTTCAAGATTAGAAAATTTTTCACAGCCTTTGGCTAGTAACTTGCACTCTACACTTAATAAGAAGCCCAATTAACTATTGGACCATCCTTCTTATAAAAAATTGGTGCTCCTGAATCTGTGCACAAAACACCTTTTTTCATGCACCGTAGTTGTTTCCGCCTCTGAACACGAAAATGTAGAGCGTTTACATTAGAACTAATGGTTGCTTTGAAAAGAGAAGGCGGAGCTTTATAAGTATATTAAAATTATCTTCCAGATTGATGAACTAAGTACCGTATTTATTCGAGTATAAGGCAAGGTTTTTTTCTGGTATCCGTAGTCTCAAAGTCATACCCCGCCTTATATTCGAAGCTCAGTATAGCAATAGTAAGGCGATTTTGTTTCTTTTTCTTGGGTCCTTCAACTGTCCCCTCGCCTTATAATCATGATCGCCTTATATTCTAATAAATACGGTAGCCACAACAGCACCTTCAAAATAGTGCTGGAGCCTCTCCTTCCTGGCATGTTCGCTGGGAGAAAGATTCATGATGCATAACATACAGAGATCTCAACATTTCCGTGCCTTCCGCAGGCCATACCCGAGCAGTCAAAAATGTTGCAAGCGTGTAAGAATGTGCCAACAGCCGTAGCTAAAGCACTCAGTCCTACGATATGTTAAGGTCAAATGCTTGTGATATTCAAATTCACAGGTCAAAAATATGCTAGAATTAACCTCTAATTCATATTTTTCGAGAACCTCTTGAGCTCAACAAATGCAGCTACAGGTGAAAAGATACATCAAAGTAAACAGATTAAAGAAACTTATAAATGCTGTAAAAATGCATCCAACTTACTAGGCTACACAAAAATGTAGAAACATTGTTTGTAATTCCTTCCATGTCTTTTGTGCAAATGCTAATTGAGTTTTGGTCTCAGATCTTTTTAAGGGCTGTGGCTTTCTTAAAATTTACCCCGCCTCGCATTATTTCTGCCCGATTGCACAGACCCCCCCCCCTTTCATTATATATATTTTCTGCTAGACGTTGAGATGCTTCACGATTCCAGATCCCAACCATCTAATATACCAAACTACAAGAGAAAAACTTGTAATAAGAGAGGGAAAGAAGAAACAAAAAGCAAGAGAAGAAATGTTCTGTCAAGTCACCAGAAGTTGCGAGGTTCCCAGATTGTCGAGCGTCAGGGACTGGATCCTGGAGATGTGGACCCCGAGCTCCCGATGCACCCCAGAGCACTCGATGCAGGTCAAAATGCCAAAGTTCGTGGATAGCCACGTCGGATCTGCAATTCCCCAAAAAATTGCTTCGTGGCCACTCTCACATTCCATGCATTGGATCGGTAAAAGGAACGCCCTGACAGCCAAGTGTGCGCAGCACAACGCACGGAGTACACTTCCTTATTAACCTTTTCATACTTCTGCGGAGAAAGGTCGAGCTCTTTCTGTCCACGTACGTGCACGACGGGGACGAGTTACGAAGGTACAGACCCGCACCCGTGGCTTTGAGACGCAAGTTTCGTTGCTGCGGTTGTTTCGACTTGGCTTCCGGACAAAGCCCTTGTTTTCCGCTCAACCATAGAGGTGGCAGCTCGCAACGTTCGCCATTTTCTCTAGACTGGGTTTCTCTATAAACGGATTTGATAAACTGAGCTCAGTAAAACGGCATTCGCTAAAACAAGCTCCTCTAAACCGCATGCCTCCGGACGGGCGATAGCACCGTGCATGTCTGTTAGGATGCCAATAATTGCTAAGAATTATAAAACCATTCAATCCCCCCCCCCCTCCCCCCTCACCCCAAAGGCACAGACAGCTATACAGGAGACAGGGCGGTCCTGTGTAGTAGAGTGCTTCCCGCACCCTCACAGGTGCCCGCTTCGTGCTTTCTCCCATTTCCCTTTCACCTGCCCCCTTTGCTGCCAACCCCGCTTAGAGATTTCGAACGATGCAGTCGTTTCTCGAGCAACGGTCTTGAACCTCTCCTCCCCCTCCTCCCCCCCCTTCCAAAAAGAAAAAAAAGAAAAATTGTGCTTTGATAGTTGAAAAAAATTGGCAAATGACAGTCAGTTTTAAATATATACCGGTGACCAGCCTGCTATACAAAAAAAAAACTGTCCGTGCCGGTCAAAAACTCGGGGTGTGGCAACCCTAGTTATGAGAGACCATTTCTCGTAGACAGAGCACAGATTCTATCTCGCAAATAATGCAAAACCTTCGGTCTAGTTATTCTCAGAATGGAAGTGTTCCAAAGCCACCCAACAGGTGGCACCGGTGTGCCAATTCATCTAAAGCCCCTCAATATAATTCATGCTTCGTGTTTTCCCGCGAGCACCGCCGACCGCCGCCATGCGAACGTGCGAGACACGTTCCACGAGCAAGTTTTGTGCTGCCGTCTGCTTCTGAGCGCCGCTCGGTTCGGTGGAGCGCGGCCGTATTTGTTTCCCAAAAACGCAAGGAGCGTGCGCCTCGTGCGTCGGCACGCTTGACGCCACTCGTAAGACAAACACAAACGGGGGCTTTAATCTCGTCGTAAGCGGCAACGACGTGCTTGGTCACGCACAAACAGAAACGGATAGACGGACGCCAACGGCCATACTCTTTTTGACAGGCAGTAGCTTGCACTACCTGGTATAAAAACCGAAAGTAATATTTTTCCTACTCCCGCCAATTTCCTTCCCCTCCGTGTGTTTGTAACCGTCACCAGGTGGTGTGGGATATTGCCGGGACAACCTTCGAACCGGCCCCGAGGTTGCTTCGAATCTAACAGTCGGAGCAGGTGCTGGCTCGGAAGGTGCCTCTCCCCACCTTTAGTGGAGCTGCAGTCGCAGCAGCGGTCGTTTCCGGGCAGGAGCTGGACCTGGCGGATGATGGACTGCTGGAACTCGAGAAGGCTCTGGTTGCCCGTTCCGCCCCCGGCCTGGCCGGGCTCCGTGAACGCCTTGCGAAGCGCGCCTTCCTTGCAGTTCACCAACACCGCCTTCCACCTGAGCATCAACGGCCATTCTGGTGGTCTCGCTACCGAGCGCATTCCTTCGGCAGCATGCGTTTCGCGCCGTCGGATTTGTTTTTCTCGGCAAGAATGAGCCGAAACAACCACCGGCACGGTGTGACAACGTTGCGCACGAGCCACATATCTCGTTGTTTTTTTTTTCCGCCTTTAGGAGGCTTTTGATGGCCCGCCTAAATACTTGGAAGCTACAAAAAGTTGCACGAGACAATCAAGAAGCTGCGTCGTTTAGCGTGTTTCAGATGACGGGTTTTTTGAAATTCACAAGAAGACCCGTTGAACCTTTGATATCGTGGCAAATCAGCTGGGAACAAAATATTTAACTGAGGGCTCGAGCAATAGTGTTAGAAGGCTGAAAATCCCTTTCCGAGCACTAGCACAAATGCCCCATTACATTCCTCGGCGTGAAATGTCTAATTCAGAATGCCTTCGAAGCAGTCAGAACTGAACAGAACAAGAGGAGATGACAAACCCAGCGGTGTGCTTGTCTACCTTTTACTTCCTGCGATATCATTTTAGCGCCCCCTATCCCTATTTGTTCTGCAGACACCCGCAGGCCAAAAATGTATGCCTTACGCACATGGCACTAGACAACAGAGAGCATTGCATTACTCACGCTTCCATTTCAGAGTCGTCATCCGCTTGAAAGTGGTAGGTTCGATTGTCTGAAGAAAAACAAATTCGTAGCGTAAGACGGCATCGATCGGACAATGTACAAGCAATGCCGGAGAAATACTCACAAGAGACTAGGTCAAAGCATCGCTTCTCCTCCTGAATGCTCTGCACAATAAAACAATAACAACAAAAGGAGGGAAATCAGCACCTTTATGGTTTACGACTGGTCAAAGCATTCCTTCAACTACTTACCTTCACTTGGCACGTCAGCAGGTTGAGCTTTGTAGGAGCTTTCGTTTCCTGTAGAAAAAAAACGAGAACCCAAGAGCGTTTGCACCTCCTGCGCAAATAGGATAAAATTTTACGCCGGTGACACAAGAAAATGCCAAGGAGTAGTGCCAAGTGAACAGGAGTAGATCGCCTTTATCAAGACATAAAAATCCTCGAGCTCTTTTTCTGTACGAGACATCATAATGGTCTTGCTAACACCCCTTTCATCAGTATGGTTACAACCAGCCAATTAGTCAGCCCCATCTTTTTTCCCCAGCAGATGCCATCGAGCACATTACTACTTTGCACAAGTTCAGTGCTGCCAGGCAGAGAGCAAGGTGCATGGCTCACATCCGAGTGGGAGATGTAGAGGTAACCGTCCCGGACTTCGCACTTGCGCTTCTGCCAGACACGACGCATCTTTCCGTCAGACTTTTTGAGGAGGTGGCCGACTTTGGTGTAGCCATAGTGCTGGTTCCCCTGTAGCTGGTGCAGGCTGTAGCCAGTTGCACCAACCTGCACAAACATAAATTGTGATAACATAAGAAAAGATTGTGTCTGCTACAAACATACTCCAATTTCATGCTCGGCTGTAAACACACAAAGGTACAGGCACGGTAGTGCCTGAATGATAAAATCCTGGCAGATGAGTTTGGCAAGAAATTTTTGAATCGAAGTCTGGTGAGGAGTTGCTGGTCTGAAGAAACGTTGAACTCACATCTTTGATGTCAAGGGATGGCGAACTCCGTAAAGTGTTCCTCAGATCGATGAGCTTCTTGCGCTCCTCGTCTTGCTTCTGCCTCACCCGCTGCAACTTGCTCGACAGCTCGATGATGTAGTTGTTGAAGTGGCCGATGGTCTTCAGGCCATCTTGAAAGAAACTGTGCAACACAAAAAACATTCCTTTAATGCTTCTACCACAGCAGTGGACGTCAAACAGCCACTCCCGACTAAAGCAGTACAGTATACAGGACATAGGTTCCTGTTTATACTATCCCTAAAAACTCCCCTTTAAATTATGAAAATGCTAATGCTGTTGAGCTTACTTGGCAAACAATATTGCCCAATTTGTTTTCGGTGAACTGCGACATTAAACTTTCCAGAAGGAAGGCCGAGACCTTACATACTTGTTCTGCGCGTGGTAGAATTCGACGAGGTGCTGGAGCAGTTCCACGCCCTTCTTTGTCTTAATTTCGTTCACTTTGAGTAGATACTGCACAAGGAAAGGAAAGCAAGCAATGCAAATTACATTCGTACATAATTTAATGCACAAATAAAATGTAGCAGTTGACACAGGTGGGCATCTCAAGCGGCATGTTGCAATGCTGGCTCACCTCGCACATCTGAAGCTGGAACATTTTTCTTTCCTTTTCCATTTCATCTGCAATCTGGAAAAAGGATGAACGGAAAGCACATGAGGCTTCACTGCAGTGTTTGGAAATAGACTCGGAAGGAGAAAAAAAAGTTGGGGCAAACAAAAATTGGCTAAGATACCTCCGCAGCCGAAATCTCTGTCCTTATGAGGCCTGCTTCCTTGGCTTGCTGCTTTTTCTCTTTCTCGATCTTTGTTCTGAAAGGATAAAAAGCAAAGCTCACATAACCTCGAATTAGTGTCAGAATTCAGAATTTCCTTGACCAACTGTGGTCGGTGTTCGACAAGAAAAGAATACAATTTTGGCTTTAAGTTTGCTAGTTTCAAGTCACTGCCAATCTAGAAAAGTGGCATTCGGCAAGGTTGCAGGCTGCCTAAGTCATGCAATCCAATATTGGTAAATGTTTTAAGTGTATTCTTCATTTCCCATTTTATAAACAGTGGTAGAGTTTGACCTTTGCATTGCTTACTAGCCAATGTGTATAAATAACTGTGTGGCCTCTTTAAACATCTGGAAAGAGGAGAGAAACTTACGACTTGGCCTCATAATCTCGAGACGCCTTGTCAAACGGCCTCTTGAGGTCCTGAAAAAAGTTTATCGTCACGTACAGAGTTGAGTGAAATAATATAACTGCCCGCCTTTGCAGGAGCACTCACCCCTTTGACGCCTCTCAAATCTCCTTTTAGTAAGTTATCCAATGGGAACATGATAATGTTGTGCAAACTTTGCATCTGAAAAAAAAAAAGAAGAAACGATTACATCAGTTTTTTGTTACCCTGTATTTCTTAAAGAGATACTGAATCAAAATTTTGAGCTCAGAAAACAAGGCTGGACGGGTAGGCGGGACGTTGAAAAACCCAAAAACATCACTCATACAACAATATCTCTAAAAGGATAGCCATATTTTTGGAAAAGTGCGCGATTGAACATGGCCGACGAGGCCGACAAGAAAAGTCACATCACGATTCTCATTTACCCCCTCCTTGCTACATCCTGCCAGGCTGGTGAACCGAAGTCACGAGGAGAGAAGTGAGGCCACTTCCCCTCATTCTCAAAATTTTCAGGAGGACAATAACGTTATAGCCCTCACTTGATCGCACCCTTCTTTCCCAGAAGTGCGGCTATCCGTTTGAGATATTGATGTATGAGTGATGTTTTGAAGTTTGTAGCGTCCCGTTCAGAGCTTCAGCGGCCTTATTTTGCGAAATCTAAATTTCGGTTCTGCATGACACCAAAGGTAAAAAAGTATAGAAACATTGGAAGAAACCAATATCAAGCTCACCAGCGTTTTCATAAGTGCTGATAGTTCCTTCGTCACAACCGAAAACTTAAGGAATGCTGCTCCTGAAGGGTTAAAGAATGCAGGAGAGAGAAAGATATCAAAGAGGGGAATTGTTTTCTTGTTTTCCCAAAACTGCCAAGCAGGTTAAGCAAACATTACATTACAAAGCACGCAGCACATTGCTTGCCCGAGTGCAAAATGCAATGCTATAATGATATCTACATAAAAAAAAGATGGCAGTGGGTGGAGGACTTAAGGTTGAATTGTGGAGATTTTAATCCTATTAACCTGAAGAGCATGTTGCAAGTCACAGCAATTCTCTATTCTATGGATAACGAGATCTCAATTATGGCCATTAGTTTGTTTTGTAATCAAATCACTTTGTGAGGTTCAGAAAGACAATAAATGAGATGGGAGGGAGATTACACGACGTGAGAAGCAATAGCATACCAATGTCTTGCTCCTGATCTTTCGTTACTGCATTGGCACCTAGCCTTTCGAGTGCCTTGGAGAGGTACACTTCGTTGTCGACGTGAGCTGAAATAGTGTCGGGTAAAAATAATATAGACTTTTCTTATATGGACTCGATTTGTGTGATGACACATACAAGAGAACAATTTGAAGACAAAATGAAATAGTACTACACCTCCCCCCCCAAAAAAAATATATATATATTGTCGGAATTTAAGGATTTTTATCTGATCACTAAGGGCTATGACAGACCATCGCTACGGGTTAGAAATTTTAACAGCAGTGTTTTACAGAGGAGTGCAAATACTGTTTTGCTTTGAATTGAGTAATGCAATGTCATTCCTTGCTCCAAAACTGTTAAAAAAGCATTGACTCTTTTTTGCACTGTAAAGATGAGGCAAAATTCTGTTCAAACCACCACAACCCCTATTTAAGTCAAGTATTTGATGAATGTTGGGCAATGCAATTTTATATTTTCTACAAAAATATTACCTAACCCAACAGACTAAAAAACATAACCAGGACTCTTGCATCGGTGTTGCGTCTGTACACTTGATGAACCAAAGAGTTAAATTTAATCATCAATAAATAGCCTTTGCAAATATATACACAATTTTGATTTTCGGCAGGTGTGTTTACTTGTCTCTCGTCATTTATTGAGGATAACTTCCCCTCCATGCGTTAACGCTGTTTCATACTTTTTTTTTTTTTCACGATAAGATGAACCTGTGCATGCAAAATATAAGCGACATTGGACTCTTTAAATAAACATTTAGTAAGTCAGCGACTGTCCTGTGTGTCTCTGAGACTTTGCTGCCTCTTTATTGTGCTGTTTACTGTTATGTCAATCAACCGCCAACTAGCCTAGCAATTCACTTCGTTTGCAGTATACTAACAAACTCGACATTTTAAATTTCCAGAAGACCTAAACAAATGTCGAAGTGTTTTCTAAACATTTTCTAAATCATCCTGCAAATTATTCTAATATCATGGCATTCTGGTTTCCAAAGAAATAATGATGTTGTTGTTGCTGTGATTATTATTATTAACAATGCTTATTTTTGTATACCAACAATGCTATTCAGGGTCAGGAGTGGAAAAGCTTGTGAAATTCAGCTATTAGCTACATTCTCCAAGCATGTCCTTTAAAAAAAAAGGTGATCAGCCAGGAAGGTCTGTCTGTGTTTGGTCGCTAAATTTTGTGCAGTGGCTCTACACTTAAAAACATGCATGCTTCATCGTGTGCAAAAGATAACAGACATGAGGCAAGAACTTACTGTTTCCGCTATTGTAAACGGCCTTCACAGCTTTCTTCATCTTTGTAAGGCCATCCCTGTCAAAGTCCAACGTCTGCAAAGGCGAATAAAAAGACATCTCGAGTGTTATGTGCGGCCTCAGGAAAATGAAATGTGCGTGCTAGACATGGAAGTACGGTTGACACAGCAGATAAAAAGGGGAACAAAAAAAAAAAGAGGAAAAGTAAGCGTAGGGGTCCATCAAACATTTGTCCGCAGTTCAGGAAGTTGAATTATGTACAATAAAATAAAACCAACTGGCTAGAGTTATTTAGCTATTTTTTTAGAACTCTTCTGATTTTATGTTTAGTCAATTTTCAAACATGTACAGGACCATACAAAAAAAGTTAAGAAAAAAACAATGAACGGTACTGGAAGAACAGACTATTCTAGCTGTGTAACCAACTACAGCTACATTTAAAGAGCAGCAAAAAGCTGCCTACTGACGCAGTCGCAAATTTAAACACGAATGACTCAATTTCGCAAGGAAAAGAAAACTACATTCAGTATCGGTGCACACAAGGACAACAGCCACGTGAAAATGAGCAACTCGCGTCGGCGAGTTGTCGGAGTGGACGGCATTGATTAGATCGGCATTGAGGCACGCGATATAACCCAATTCATCGTCGAGGAAACAAAACAAAAACACCCGTAAGTTGTGATCGGCGATAAGCGTTACGCCCATGGGCGCATATGACCATTCTTAAAAACTGACAACAATCGTCATAATAAACTTATTTCGAAACTGGACGATTTACGCAAGCTGCGTTTTCTTCAACAACAACAAAAAAAGAAAGGGGTGTTTCTTTTTTGGTATGTTTCAGAGTAACCACGTTCATACCGCTCAAACGTTCTCATGTACGCGGCTTTTTTTTTTTTTTTCCTTTTTTTTTTTAAAGCTTTGAGTTTATTTGGAATTTCGTTTAACAAATTATGAAAGATATACCAAATGACCATTACACCCAAGACGCGAGCGCGGGTTACGACTGAGAGACATGTCTAGCACCTTACCTCTTCGAGCAGGTTGACGCTCTGACGGCAGTAATTCATTTTGCCCACGAACGTCGAGGTGGTCGGAGAGTTGTAGTCCTCTTGCGTCTCGGACACAAACTCGTCGACACTCATGATTCCGGGCATCTTGGCGGGGTGGTCGTCGCGTTGTTTGGCCGCAAACTTTGGACGCCGCCGCAGGGACGACGAGGCGACAGGATATCCTTCCTTCCCCTGCGATTCTGTGCTGCTCTGACGGTTTGATATTAGGATGCGGATTTCCCTGATGAGAGGCCGTCGCCTACTCCTAGACGCGAGTAGAACGCTGATGATCGTGACGAATACAAAATCGTGGCTCCAACATCTTACGCGCCGGCCAGCGAGCCAAACCGTCTCATCGTACGCGATCACAACACAAAATACGGCGATCAGACATGTCAGTGTACCGCGGCTACTGCGAGTCGCCCCGATCAGCGGATCAACCCCGATCCGCCCGATGTTGTAATGAGATTGCTTGGCTTGGCGCTACTTTGACTTTGATGATAATATTTTTATTTCATCGCAGCAAAAATAAAGCGCTACTAACGTTTCAATTTTAAAATTGTATAAATTACGAGTAGTAATTTAAATTACCATAATTAAACGAAACATTTACCCAAAGTGTTTATTTTATAGTAAATTATTTAAAACTTTTTATTTTTAACAAAGCTGCAGGGATGAGGAGTGATAGATGGCACTACGGTCCTTCCAATTTTCGCGGTTTTCGACTTTTGTGTGTTTTCGTGTGGTGTCTGCTTGCTTTTGTACAAAAGCGGGAATCAACATTGTGGGAATCAACCATAGCCGTGACCGAAGCATTCATTACCGTCATTACCAAGTGCAATGACTTCATTCGCCGCTTTAGACATGTCGGTGGACGATATCAAGAGGTTGAAATGTAACATAGCTCAAGGGATGGACGCGATTCGCAGTGTAGCAACCGACGTCCTTGAAGTCTGCGAATGTAAGCTTGGTTGTCTATCACTGCGTGTCCGCTTTCTTCCCGAGTCCCACTAGAACGACAAACGGAAACAAACGACAGCGACAAACCACAAACCAGAGTCTTTCGCGATTTGACAGGCTTTGTAGAATAAAGGAGGCTATCATGGGCGCACCAACTGGGGGTGCAAGGGGGGCGCTTGCCCCCCCAGTTTTCAGAGTGGGGGGGCAAGGCGTTCCCCCCCACCTGAAACAGCCGCCACTGGGCAGGGCAAACACTAGCCGGCGGCGCCCAAGGGATACCAAGGGCACCGCCCTCTGGCCCTGGGGGGGGGGGGGGGGGGGGGGGGGGAGGGGAGGGGAGGAGGGGAGGGGGTTTGGGTCTGGTCCGGTTTACCCCACCACTCAAGAACAAGTTGGTACGCCACTGAAGGTTATGCTCAAACACGAGCATCATACACGTGAGGGTATCTTTGGCAGGCTTTCAATCACTCGTGCTTACTTCATGAGCACCGAACGACTTAACACCTGCGAAAGGTACCATCGTGAGCATGCTGGATGTGTTTAAGGCTTGTCGATCAATGACGCAAGGCTAAGCTAACTCAGAGTTAGCAACGTAATAATTTGATCACATGACACCAGCTGAGGAGGACATAGTATACTCTCTATGCTTTCACTGCACATTGTTGTCACAAGCAAATGACCGAACAGATCACTGGTGGGGAGAGAGTAACATATTTTTCATCATGGCCGCAGCTGACGAAGCGAGGAAGAATCTCGAACTCCTGAAGGAACATATGAAGGCACTGATCAAGGAGGAGCATGATGCGGCAAGTTATGTAGAAGCGGCGGATACCCTTAAACAGCAGGTAATTCATTACTCGCGAACATCTCGCTTTTTTTCCTGGTACATGTGCATTAGTGCACCAGCTTAAAAAAGAGTTTAAGATAGAAGACAAGCTAAGCCAGCAGACGAGCTGGTTTCAAGTCACACATTTGAAACCGGAGACGACAAATTAAAAAAAATAACACACTACCTGTCATACACACCCGAGTAAATTTTATATAACACAGCCTGTTAAAGACGCGACTCCTCCACACACATCTTTCCCCGACGTTTGCACACTCCTGACGTTGACGCCGTTCCTGCCACAGTATTTCATTGCTGCATCCTCCACCCACAACCCACCCGAGACCGTTCTATGCAAAGCATTCCACCCTACAGCTGACAATAGTGAGCAAACTCAAGGCAGTGTACACCTCTAAAACAAAGACAATGGTGTTTTCTTTTCCCTACTCTTAATTAGGTATAAACTTCTGGGTTGCTGCATCTACTGTAGAATACCGTGCATCCGCCCATTCTGTACTAAGCGCCCATTTCCAAATTTGTAAGATTGAGAAAATATGCACATAACTGATTACCGGACAAGCACCCGTGCCCATTTTTTTTTTCGCGATTGTCTACAAAATTTGAGTTTCCACTAGCCCGGTATGTTTCGGTAGTGTGATTGAAGGTTGGCTGATACAATCGCCTACAACACGTTTTTGATTGTCTCTTTCAAAACCCTTTTTATGTACCGCCTTGGTGGCTCCGAGGCGAGAGCGCTGACCTACGGATCCCCATGTGGCGGGTTCGAATCCCGGCCGAGGTGCCCGCAATCTGACGGAGGCTTATTGCAGAGGAGGCGCCGTGTAACCGAGCTTTCGGTTGAACGTCAAAAGATCCCCAGGTGGTCCAAATTAATCCTCAGTCTTCTGTTGGGGCGTGCCAGATGCCCGTCGTTGGTTTGGCCCGTAAAACCCCCAAATTTGATTTTGACCCTTTTTATGCAGTTTCTCTCTTTACCATTGTGTTTCCTCAAGATACTGAAAATGATCAAGAAGAGTTACCTTCTCATGGTCAGGGCCACTGGTCATATGCTCAGGTGTTGGTTGTATGCTGCCGATGTCGTTACGGCCTTGCATCCTACTCTTCATTGCGCATCGTGCAAGGTGTACTTTTGACAAGCCCAGACTTAAATGTTCGCCTGGATAATCAGTGTAACCAAGCCCAAAGGGAGTGCCGACACATCGCTTGGGTCCAGTCTGAGCGGCATTCGGCTGTAGTGTTGCGACATCATGGTTAAATAAACAGGCGTCGGTGGAGTCGTCTGACATGAAGCATCATCACATGGCACCACCAGCCTCACAATCAAAACAACATACTTTACAAAAAAGAAACTGTATTTATTCTGTTACATTACAGGAGGAATGAAGCCTGCAACATGCTGTATAACATAGTTAGATTCAGTAAGGCTTTATTGCTTTTTCTATGTTTTGTTCAGCCCTTTTTGCACCAAGCAAAACTCCCTTTTTCAAATAGCTATGTGTCTAGCTTTGTTGCTTACCGACTTCACGGCGATCTCTGCCCGAAACATTTTTCCTGCACATCGAGTTGCCGTTCTGCCCTGCACCGTCTTCGTTTGCTTAGCTATAGGCTCATATATGCGTTCATGCCAGTGTCAAAGTATTTGTCTTCTTGAATTAATGGAAATACGGTTGAGTGCTTTTATACCTCGGTTGTTTTCTGCATTAAAATTTCCTTACGTGATTCAGTTAAGTGTGACTGGGACTGTACATGACAATACTGGTGAAAGAAAATATTCAGAGCTGGTCCATGTATATTGTATTGCAGTTAACTTCGAGTGCTGACAGCTATCTTTTTGTGCCTGCTTGGAGTCATTGGATGGTCACGGAGCACCGCAAATCTCGAGCTTCAAATCTCCATTGTTTGCTGGCACAAAGCGTTTGCTCGGTGCCTGAAACACAGCCTGATTGTTCTATTTATAGCATTTTTGTTGTGGCAACTAAATTCCAGCATTGCGGTATCACTCAGGTGCCTCGGCAAGGTTGTTTTGACGTCGGTAGTGGTCCCCAAAGCCGCCCTTGTGTTGTGCAGCAGAGAGGAGGAGGTGACAGCCGTTTGTTCAGCTGAAGTCTGTTACACAGCCCACAAGCCGAGAGAAATTTAAACGGCTGCGAGTTTGAATGCAGGGATGCTTGCACTTGTTAGTGTGTTGTTGCTTGTCTAACCAACGGCGAGGATCACATTAGCTGCGTTTACATGAATGCGACTTCAGCGCATCGACTCTAATCATTCTTCAAATGAAGCCGACGCAGCAACGTTTACATGAATGCTGTGGGAATTAAAAGGAGGGAGGATTACGCACCTTTACGTCCGGAGACCTGTCCGGTCAAAGGGGAAATCCGATGCCCGTCCCACCGCGCGGCCGACGGCTACCAGTAAGGGCGGTCGCCGCGCCGGGTTCGGCCAACGCCATGCCAACAACGATGATCCCGGTATCCAGCAGCGTTTATTGAGTACCAGGGGTCCCCAACAAGACACTGTGGTCAAGCGAGCTGCGGACACAGTGTGCCCGCATCGCCCACCGACCTGAGAGCCAAAGGAGTAATTGCGCGCGGAGTCATCGCCGGTCGGGCGAGCTCACACCGCTACCCGTCGTTGTAGGAGTTTGGGGCAAGGGCTCTCGGCAGATGGACATCCACAGGTTGTGGGGACGCCGACTGTCAGAGCCCGGGGAATTACTAGCGTGGAGTCATCACCGGTCGGACGATGCTCGCGCCGCGACTCGACCCATTGCCCGGAGTCCAATCCAGGACTCCTCGACCACACGGCCGTCCACTCGGAGGGCAGGCCCGACTCTCCCTTTGCGCGGTCTCGCTGTTCCCCCGAAATCGGGGAGACGCGCGGAGGAGTGCAAGAGAGTAAGCCAGCATGGTGGCGTAGTCTCTCCAACACGATACGGAGCAACCGGGCTCGAAGTCAGACGGCTTCGCCCGGAACGTCCTCGGCTTACGCCTTCTCGGGGGAGGGAAACCAGTGGCTCCCACAATCCCCCCGAGCCACTGGTTTCCCTCCCCCGAGACGGCGTAAGCCAAGGACGTTCCGGGCGAAGCCGTCTGACTTCGAGCCCGGTTGCTCCGTATCGTGTCGGAGAGACTACGCCACCATGCTGACCTACTCTCTCGCACTCCTCCGCGCATCTCCCCGATTTCGGGGGAACAGCGACATTGCGCGAGGGAGAGTCGGGCTTGCCCTCCGAGTGGACGGCCGTGTGGTCGAGGAGTTCAGGATTGGACTCCGGGCAACGGGTCGAGTCGTGGCGCGAGCATCGTCCGACCGGCGATGACTCCACGCTAGTGATTCCCCGGGCTCTGACAGTCGGCGTCCCCACAACCTGTGGACGTCCGTCTGCTGAGAGCCCTGGCCCCGAACTCCCGCGACGACGGGTAGCGGCGTGAGCTTGCCCGACCGGCGAAGACTCCGCTCGCAATTACCCCTTTGGCTCTCAGGTCGGCGGGCGATGCGGGCACACTGTGTCCGCGGCTCGCTTGACCGCAGTGTCTTGTTGGGGACCCCTGGTACTCAATAAACGCTGTTGGATACCGGGATCATCGTTGTTGGCATGGCGTTGGCCGAACCCGGCGCGGCGACCGCCCTCGCTGGTAGCCGTCGGCTGTGCGGTGGGACGGGCATCGGATTTCCCCTTTGAGCACCGGACTGATCCCCGGACGTGAAAGGTATGTGATCGGCCCTCCTTTTATTCCCCACAATGCGCAGCAAGCCCAACATGAAGGTGGCGTCACGCCGTGTCAAAGCTCAAAGTTAAAGCTGCATTTCTGGCACCAGCCGCACTACTTGACCATGTTTTTTGGTGCATCGCACGTGAAGGCTTTTTGACGCCTCTGGTGAGCGTAAAGATTGTGCCCGCTGTCTTCGATGCTGTGTAAGAAGTTATGAGACGAAAGAAACATTAAAACCCAAGCATTCTGGGCTCCGAGCCGGGCCACTCTAGACTAGAGGCATTGTATGTGCTCAAGCCCTGGCAAGCGAGATGATTTCTGAACGCCCTGAGGACGCCACAGCGCTTTGCCTCGCCAAACCTCGCTGACCGCGACCTGACCAACCAAATCCCAATGCCGAAGGGCTCCGGCGCAGCCAGGAATGGCACCGAGGTAGGAGCTGCTCGTTCTGTGCTACCGTGCATTACTCGGAGCTCTTGGCATCGTTCGTGCTTGCGCCAAAGCCTTTAGAGACTCCCTCGGACGTGCAAACCATACTTCACAAGGCTTGGACGGGGGCTGCCCTCACCAAGCAATTCAGCTATATTCCGCTTACTTATGATGGCAATAAAAGCTCGCGTTTCTTCTCGGGCGAAAACTGCAGGCAACCACATGGGACCGCTCTCCACACCGCTGATGAGGTTGTTCTCTGTTCCATGTTCTCAGCTGTTCACTCGCTCCCACAGTGAGCGCCTTCCCATAATCCTCCCCGTACCAAAAGGCAATGCAATCTCTGTTTACATCAACTGAATGAACGTGCATTCGCCGTCTCGATCCACCTCTGTCTAGCGACTTGAATGCGATACGCTTCCTTAGCGCATTATGCCATTTACATGACCGCATTGAATGCGACTAAGTCACATTTACATGAATGCGACTAAGTCGCATTCATGTAAACACGGCTATTGTTCTAGACCACTCTCTTCTAGGCCGTCATGGTATAATTTGCTGCATTCTCGGGTGAACATGCATGGGTTGTATGGGACGCCAGACGCACCATTCGGTGAAGTGTTCCAGGCGCAGCGTTATCAAACTAGCACCATTATAATGGTGCCTCTTGACACGAGGTTGTGTTCAAGCACCTTAATTTGAGTGAACACTAGATGTTAGGAAGATGCCTACAAATTGAGGAAATCTGGCATCAAGAGCAATGTTCATGCAGCTGAACAGAGGCGATGTTTCAATAAGCAATTTGGTGTATCTATGTTTAGAAAGCAGGAAATTAGTCGACCCCATGGCCACCCAATGTCTCGATTGTAGACGAGAAGTTTAGCCAGTGCAGTACGACTGCTAGCCTGGGATCTTCAGCGTCCATCATGCAGTTGTGATACATGACTGCATGCCGGTACTATGCTCGTCCAAATCTAAACGGGCAGGGGTGAAGATTGAACCCAGCATCCCTGGGTTCTGCAGTGAGAGTTTTCGATCTAGGTGCTCTGAGCTGCGGAGTATTGGAGCGTCACCCAAGTGTTACTCCAGAATAACTGAATACCAGTGAGAAAATAGTCCATAGTTCTGCATTGATTTATGTGAGTCACATGCTTGTGTCTGAAACTACAGACTGGTGGACTTCGCTAGCGTCGCAACCAGTCGACATGCTTCATTTTCTTTCCCTACAGATGTAACACAATGTGGTACTCTGGATGCATTCGGTGACTATGGGTTATCTTAAATACACCGGATTAGTGATTATGACTGACGTGGGCATTCTTCCCCCGATCAGCTCGCTCTTGTTTTTAAGACTCTTGGTGGACGTTCGGTGTTGAAAGAGGGGGTGTTTTGTTGCTTTTTTGGTCATCACGTGATGTGGCTTGCAGGCCAGGAGGCAAAATGTAGCCCCGGACAAGATGAAGGACGTGCTCGACACGGCCTACGAAGCGTCGAGGGCACGACAGCCCAATCCCGAGCACCACGTGGCGTTCAAGGGACTTCTCAACATGGTGCCTCTGGTGGAAGAAGGTGAGTGGTTAATACAGGAGATGTGCTTAAATGTCGTCCAGCAAATTATTGCATTATTTTTTGTTTAAAATGCACATTTAAAAGCATTATAAAGGGTGTTTTGTTTAGTCTTTTCAGATTTGTTTTAAAAAAGCCGGAAAGGCCACATCAATGCCATTTGTGTAGGTGGCTTATACGGTCAGGGGAACATAATATAGAGGGCTAATCGTCACGATAAGTCAATTACCCAACTAAAGTTTGTTAATTAACTTTTTTAATTAGTGAACATCAACATATCGTTCCAATTGGAAACTTGCTGAACGTCATCGGAAAGCACATCGGTGAAATTTAGAAAGACCTAGAGTTGTGTGGGAAGCACAGTGGTGTGTTCGAGTTACCACTCGCGCAGTAGGCACAAGGCTCAGAGTGGGAAAACATGCCCGCACGGCTTTTCTGTTTCTTATCATCCGTGTTTTTGCACAACCAGCCTTCCGCCTGTTGTACCAGTGGTAACTTTAGCGCATTGCGGTGCCTCCCGCTCGCTCTAAGACTTTCTTGTGCCCTTACGTTCTGCTCATCAACTACCCTACGTTTACTTCACTAATAAAAGAAAAGTTAATTGACAAATTTTAGTTAATTAGCCGGCCTGTCGTGACAATTAGCCCCCTATATTATGTCTTTTTGGCAGTACATAACTCATTTGCACAAACTGCATTGGTGCAGCTTTCACAACCTTTTTAAAAGAAATTTGTAAAGCTATAGACGAAAGAAAAATAAAATGCCCCGTATTGGGCATTTTTTATAATAAAAATAAAACTTTAAATATGCCCCATATTGGGTAAAAGTTGGGGCATGCAAAACATTCCTTTCCATATAGACAGTTTGAATGATCACCGTCTGCATGCTGCCATTTTTTGTTGACTTGGCCGTGGAGCTTGTTTTGAGCAGGCACCAGTAGCTCTCTTCCACAAATATTAGGTGCCGTGTCTGCGTCTGCAGCTCACCGACGCACCAATTTTTACTTGGTGTTTAGCACTGGAAAGGTGTGCGAAAACTTTAACGAATATATATTGTCCTAGTTAAATTACTTTCTGATGCAGGGGCAATGACATGCTGCAACGAGGTCGTCGTCTGCTCGTACTTGTAACTGCATAGTAATGGCGGCCTTTCGGAATGACAGCGTGCAAACCCAGTGTACGGAAATCGCAGGTTGCACCCACATCGTATAAAAACGAAAAATAAAGGTTACTCGTCAACTGCGTTGGCCACATTCTCGTCCAAACTTCCAGTTGGTGTTGGCAATGCCAGGAGCTAATATTTGCGGGAAAAATTTTCAAAATAGTTTGACAGCGGTTACTGCAATGAGATGGAACCAGAGTCTTTTACTCCCGACGAGATCGGTTGATCGTAATGTCTGCCACGTGCCTTTGTACCGCGACTACAGTGTACCGTGGCTCTTGAGCCGTTCGTGTCAACCTTCGCTGCCTCACACCGGTGCAGACGGAGCAAGCTTCACCGATTTGCATGGTTGCATGTGCATTGAGCCTCACCGTTTTGCACCGTCGCGTGTGCGTCGAGTTTCGCCACTTTGCACCGGTGTGCCAGGAGCAGCGGGTTCCCGGGTTAGTGCAATAAGCCCGGAAATTATGCTCAATACTATTACGAGTCGACTTTCCGTGGTCTTGATTGTAGGTTGACCTCTCATTTTAAAAAGCTCTGCTGAGAAAGGTAAAAGAAATGCGGATCTGTATTATTTTATAAATACGGTAGTTGAGGTAGGTCTTGTGCAGCAGTTAAAGGGAAACTGAAGCGGTTCTCTATTTGAGAAAAAACATTTCAATGGCCTTCATTCTACCTCCAGGATCAGGAATATCAAGATTGTTTTTCAATTTGGTGCACGGAGGCTTCAGAAATTAATTTTTAAAGTACCGCCGAAGCCCCTCCTTCCTGGGGCGTGACGTCACACCAGGAGCGTTCGGAATATCTGCTCTCGCGCATCTTCAGCGCCTGTCAAAGCTATGCACGCGCACTCTTGCTATTTTCAGAAAGGTCAGAAAGAGACGTCACGACTGGTGTCAGTGCGGGAAAATATACCTGGCAAGCTTGCCGTTGCACGCGCTGAACACACGAGCGACACGCGCTTGGAGGCCCGAAGATCCTAGTATGACGTCACGACTGGTCGAATGTTTTTTCGCTTTTTCTCGCTTTTAGTTGCATCTTCGGGGAAAACAAAAGTGATATTCAGATTCACGGGATAAAAATACGCCAGAATTCACCTCTAACTCGTTTTTTTCAAAAAGTGTTTCAGCTTCCCTTTAACAAAAAGGGCAGCGAACTCTAACCCAACACTGGCTATAACACTAAAGTGCAGTGCCACTTTTAAAGCAATATGGTAGATTTTTATGGGATTTAGAGGTGGTTGTTTTTGCAGTTTATGATATTAGAATATTTAGTTTGGTAGGAAATTGGGGGATATATCTTCGTAGATCGACATTAGCTGCTATGCCGTTTTTTGTCGACATTTCAGAGATATTGTATTTACACACTAAAACTACAAGTGTAAAAAGTAGAGGAAAGAGAAAGGCTTTATTTCATCTCAAGTATTGTGCTACGACTAATTTTTCCAATCATTTCTTTTCATACCTATTATAAATGGAACCTACACTGACCTGAGCCTTATTTCTAAAAAGAAAGTTATGCATTGTATGTAATATTATTATTATTAGAGCCCTGCATGGATAACAGTTTGATCATAAGCATGCAATCCGCATCCGAACCGCATCCGCAATGTTCTCAAATAATTGTATCCGCATCCGATCCATATCCGCAGACTTTGTATCCGCAACCGAAAGAGATCCGCAAAATTTGGAACCGCATCCGACCCTCAATCTGCGCTTTCATTTTACATCATAAAATCAAGCATGAATAAAAATTTTACAAAAGCACCTTGATTGTATTCTGTAAGCCGTCTGCTTACCTTCGTACAAAGAACTCTTTGTTTCATAACACGGTGAAAGTCATTTTATCGTATTGTTTTGTCATATTTATAAAATAAGCGATCATCCTTCCTGAGACACTTCGCATTGCTAAAGAGATGATCGCGGTTATTAGATCGTCTTGGTAGTCCGTGACACTGACACTGTCCAGAAGATGCGCTCTGAAGGAAGGAAATTTTAATATCTATTTTCCTTTTTGCTTTGTAAAACCCACTTTAAGCAGACACATTTTATAAACATGGAAATTAACAAAGGACAGACTAATAACTTTGTGTCATTTTATTTAGGCCCAATGATAAAAAAAGTGGGAGAGGGAAAGCACTCGCTCACCGCAGCAAAGTACCCGTGTATATGTGCCAAGGCGCAAGTACACCACTGGGAAAATAGCACAATATTCAATACTGGCAACACCTCCTGTCGATTTCAGTTTTAAACACATGCTCAGAGTTAATACTCAAAAACAACTCGGTGCCAACTGTCAAGAAAGAGAAAACTTGCACATGCAGCGTTTCACTTGTCAAGGTTGCTGTGTAGAAAAAACAAAATGTTGTCAACACAGACATATTCAGACTGGCTCGCCACTCTTAAATTTATTATACCCGCTAATGAGAAGCCTCTTTCCGTTGGTGCACTTGATGCTGGGGTGGTATGCGCAAACTGCGCTACAAGAATGAGGTGCGGAAACACGTGTCGGCGCAAGTTCCACCACTCCAGAGGATTGAATTCAGTCTTCTCAATCTACTTGTAGGCGAAGAAGTCACTTGCGGGCTTCTACTTTCTTGTGGGTTGTATGTTTTGGGTTTTTGTTGCCCAAAGGACATTTTCCTCTCTTTCCCTGCCAAACAAGGACACGCTTTCCTGGGACGACTGATGCTCCTGCATTCTTTACTTTTTGTAGGGACAGCATTTTTGGCGAGATAGAACGTTCTGAAGCAATCTTTTTATTGAGAATTAAATCTTTCTTGACGTAAAGAACAATTTTCTTTCCGATTGGCACCTTTTATCTAAAGCGAGTTTAGTTTGCTCCCGTAATACATTCAATGATGCACTTCATAGTATCAGTCACTTATTCGCTCTTCACTGAGCGGTCGCGCAGGTTTATGGGTCTCCTCAGCAAAACTGTAGATCCGGGCTCACGGATATCCACAGCCCCTGGCATCCTCATCCGATTCCGCAATCCACCAAATCTGATTAATTTTTATCCCCATCCGCCAGTTTACTGCGCATATCCGTGTATGATCCACGTGTAATCTGCGGATATGCAGGGCTCTAAATATTATTACGGAAAGAAGTAAGTAGTATGCTCCAGCCTCAAAGAAAAAACCGCAGTCTTTATAAAGATAACCTCGTTTAGCAATCCAGTTATTTATTTATTTTATAGTGACATGCTAACAGATGTTGGCATCTGCTCCAAATGCATCAGGGACTGCTACAAACCAATATTTTGCCAGCTATAAAACCTGAAACAAAAAGTCAAATTCCGCTTTCATCACTGGACAAATCAGGCTATTTGATAAAGTTGTGTGGCCTCGGCCATTTTGTTTTAGGCATGTGGACGTTGTTTGCGTTTGCGGGTTCACTCAACTTGTTGCGATTACTGCACGCAGGTGGTTCAAACGAAGATTCAGCAAATGACGACAGCATGCTGGTCTCGGAAGAAAACCTACAGTGGAAGGATCCCATCACCCAGTGCGACATCGAGCACCCCGTGAAAAACACCGTTTGCGGTCACATCTATGACAAGAACAGCATCGCCCACTACATCAAGACAACGAAGCACCCCAGGTACAGTAAACACGTCGAAGCATTGATCATTTTTGGTGCTTCTTCTGATATAAAGCACTGAATTGCATATAATTAACTCTTTTTGTATCGTGCCCATTTACCATTCATTGATCACCCACTTCACGCCAAAATTCAAATTTGGCGTGAAGGAGCACGTTACACCATTTCGTATATTGCCGATGAACTACAACTTTGGTTTCTATTTTGTGTTTCGTGCTTTCTCCCCAAGCTGGTGAGGTAGGCAGAAATAAATTTGTGCATGGTGGGGGCACCTGTGAAACATGGCATCTTGCTTACATTGGGGACAGCTACAAAGACGGCCTCTATCTAACGATTCAACTACTTTTGCTGATAGTGTCGATGACAACAGTAGTGAGGACTGTGGATGGGTGGATAATTTGATTTGAGCTTCTACAGCGACGTTCCGTATTCGAGGCGCAGAATATAGACAGGTGCTCATTGAATAGCGTCGTTCTAGCCTTTTAGGCTGTCCTGAGCAGAGGCACAAACTTTATATCTGCCACAAGCCATTAAAACAGCAGCAGAGAAGAGGTTAAAGCAGTGCTATAGCTAACCAAAGTTTTGCAAGAAAAAAAAAAAAAAGTTTTGGATGACATGCATTTTGCATGCAACAGATTCTCTGAATGGCATTACGCCACAAAAAGTACTCCTGCCGATACACCAAAATGTGACAGTATCAGCTAGAAATCCCTAACTTACCTAAGTGATGGTAGTGTGTATGGGGCATACTCTGTATACCTAGGATTTTTTAAAGTCATAGCATGACTTGATAAGCCACCAATGTTTGACCTTTTTGTTTTCATATTTGCACAAATTCCGAGTTAAGCGTTTATGGCTAACTCTTTTCAGGCATTAGTGTAAACCTTTTTTTCTTTTATAGAGCAGCTTATTATCTACATTTTATTGTGTCATAATAAGCCATATGATGACAAGCTCTTAAAATCAAAAACCTTTGATCCATCCTTCGAAAATCACCACTTCTCCCTATGATACGTAAAGAGTTAACAGGCCACCAAGATAGAAAGAAGCATACTATAGTAAGATCTAGTTCCTTCAAGTTGAAAACCACCTTTCAAACTTGTTTGGACCACCTGTAATGACCTTGCAGATCTTGTCTTTTTAGCTTTTATGGTTACAACTTGATGCTTTTTGTCGTCACATGTTTCTGACATTTTCACCATGGAAGTTATGACAGCACCGTCACTATGAAACTGCACATGAGCACAATGCCATGTATTATCCTTTGGCACGTGGTTTACAGAACCCAGCTGTCCATATCAGTGAACAATATTGAAGCTCTAGTTTTTGCCATGTTTTACCGATTCATAGTTCCAACTTCTTGCCGACATCTTTTCTTCATACGACGTTTCGTAGCAGCAACACCACAAAGGGTGTTAGCTGAGCTGCGGGGTCTTATATGCGAGCATCAAAATGTCTGCAAGTTTTCATGAATCTGAGGCATTTTCATTCATTTTGTGTTACTGGGAAGTGTCTTCTCTTTTAGACTGAGGCTACACTGTTTTTGTAGTCCGCTTTGCTCACCCACTGGCATTTTCCTGTTGTTTAGCAAGAACATATGCCGAGACGCTCCTGGGTTCACGCAACCACTTTCCGAGAAGTTACACACGTTGACTTGGAGTGACTCTCAGCGACTCTAGTGCAACTTTTAATGCGCTTTACTCATCATTGCGAATATAACGCCTCAAATTTTGCGGTGGCCAATTCAGGACAATGTATCTGAACTCAGTATCGGTAGATATTTCGAGGTGGCTCGCGCAAAGAAAAATCAAGCGGTAAAGTTTCATATTTATTCACTTCGAGGGGCACTTAAATTGCGGCAGAAGTGGGAAGTGCCTTTGGTGCATGTCATGCCACTGCAAGGGTTCTTGAATTCGAGGAACGCCCATCTCTTTATATTGAAAACCTAAAAACCCGTCATGTTCTCGGCATCGAGGCAATAAAGGAGTGGAAAAGCCTACAGACCTTGTAAACACTAATACACATGCAGTGGAGTGTTGGTACCTAGGAATGCATCTATAAATGGTTCAGGTGGGACTTGACTAAAAGAACACTTTATTCAAATTGAGGGACAACCGAGGAAATTTAGGCACTCGGGGAATCCTTGAAGGTAAAACTGGAAACTGTGATGCCAAGGTGCGTCTTTTAGCAAAAGTATTTCGTGGTGAACACAGCTGGACTGGCATAGACATCCTGTGCAGCCACCAATCTTAGTTTCTAATGAATGTCGGCTTCCCCGAGCACAGCGCTATACAAAACGTTCGGGGCCGCACTCGGCGCCAACCTTTATACAGAAAACCCCAAAATCAAGGACACAGATTCCCTCCCCGCGCCGGCGAAAACCACCACGATCGTCTCGATCCCGGTACGCCTGCTCAATTTGCCGGCAAGGGAAGTGCAACCTGATAATAGGAGGAGCGAAAATACTTTCTGCCTAGATTTTATCAATTATCGGCACCAACGAACGTTGTCGCATAGTGATTTCTGGACCATTGAACTCGCATATAAAGCGCAGATAAACAAAAAACATGGCAGCGTGTCGCAGTCATTGCTGCTCACAACTGCGGGACAGTCCATTGAACCTGAGCTCCGAGCAACTCCCGCGGGTCGTGCGACGCGGGAGCACTTACGGAGCAGCCGCAGGTAGGTTTTCAAATTTCAAGGTGTTGAACCTTTACTCCAGAGCGAGATGGAGAAACATTGCCGAAGGAAGGCACAGAAGGAGTCCGAGCGGGCAGCACTTCACCACGTGATGTAACGCGGGTGGTGTCATAAGTGGTGCTTCCAATTCGCTTCCAAGGCAGAGCGGCATGCCCCGTTTTAGGTGTCACACACTCAAACAGTACAAGAATGGAGAACAACAGGATGAGTGGCATGGGGCGGGCGAGAAATGTGAGAAGCAGACTTTCCGGCAGCGACCCGACCAGGCAGCTACGTCCCCAAGTTGCTACTGCCGAGGGTCGAACGACAAAGTCGGACGTGCATCCTGCGAGTCGACCCCAATTACCGTCCGAACGACCGTTTCGGCGCCAACCTAACAGACGCTGCAGCAAGCCGAGGTGGACGCGGGGACTCTCAGCGGCGACCCAAAAGACCCGAAGGCAAGAAGTGGACGACAAATTTACCGGCGACCAAGAAAAGAAACTGTCGGCAGTGACCCGGGGAAACCCGCCAAACTACCGTCTCCAGATTTGGCGAGTACCTGACACAACGCAAATTCCAACACCGGCCATGGATTCTACAAGGCCATTTGAAGATTGGTCGGTACCCGCAAAAGATTGAATCCAGTTGCCACCATTGGAGGTTACAGGTTTGACAACCGATGCGGCGAATGGTTAATTCGCCGAAGTTTTGAGAAGGTGACGGCAGCAGTGATCACCGGAATGTCATATCGGCACTTAGTGAGGAATGTATGTGTGGTGGGGGGGGAGTGGGGGGGCTGTCAACACAACACCGTTCACACTATCATATATATTTATGCTATGTTTCTTTTTTTTTTTTTTTTTCTTTATGGTGCGAGTTTTTTTGTTTTGTTCAGTGGATGGGCTTGAACCTGAACTTGAACATTAAAAAGACACTGGAATAGTTAGAAAAAGATCTTCTTTTTGGCATAGTACTTCCTGAAGAATAGAAATATAACCATCATTTGTTCTCAATCAACACTAAACATGAAAAAAATAGACAAACATGCAGCTGCTCGCCCCCCCGTACGTCATTGGTTGGTCGAGCCGTGATGTCATAAAATGAGCAGGCGCGATTCTAATTGCATCTGCCGTGCAACTATCAGCTGGAAATCCTTACCTCGTTTCGTCTCCGCTTTGCTCAAGCTTCTTGGATTCGCCGAGGTGCCTGCATCTTATGTAGAAGGATGCTCAAAACTGCTGCACTAGCAACCATTTACTGAGAATAAACCTCTTCTTCTTCCACACCCATTCATTCCGAGATATGAAACTACTAATAGGTGTGGAAGATCATCTTCGTTAAATGGTTGCTAGTCCAACAGTGTGTTTGTCATCTTTTCTCTCTCTCTCTCTCTTCGTGTACCTTTCTACATTCAGCTGGCATCTTTCAGAAGCATGAGTCACCAACTAGCTCGGTATTGACGATGTACAACGCTGGCTCTGCGAGTCGAGGAGTACGCGCGAGGAACCTTTCGTGAGGTGATGTTTTTCCTTCTCCTTTTACTGCCTTCTACCACTGCCACGGTAAGGTGTGGTTTCACTGCAACTTCAAAGGCGTCTTTTTAGGAGATGCGGGCACAGAACGGCCTACTTTTTGTAACATACATGATGCCTGTTTTGGAACAAAACAAATCAAGTGTTTTTCATCAAATTCAAAACCGCTCAACTTCTTTTAAAGGAAGTTACAGATACCTTAGTTGTATTTCTCGCTTGGCCTTTTAACTCGTAGGCATCTGTCATAACAGTCGGCCAGCTTATGAAAGCCCCACGAATAGAAGGAAGCGAAAAATCGGAAAGTTATCCTTGCACTTGGTACTGCTCAAACACATCGGTGATTTAGACGCCTCGCTGAGTCCAGCGTTTCGACCATGCACTGCGAGTCTCCAATTTGGGGTCGCTCCCTTGTAGGCAAGTTTTCTGCATGCTGGAAAAGCATTAAATGGAATCCTATTTGACACACCTCAAGGCACCCTGACAGGGTGCCTTGAGGTGTGTCCTCGTGTGTTGACTGGTTCTTGACGGCAGCAATCCTCAGATTTTTCGCGTCTTTTTGTGCTTTCAGGTGTCCCTACTTGGGCTGCAGGAACCCCAGGTCGCTACGATCGACAGAACTCGTTGACGACTTGTATGTGATGCGCTTCCTCAAAGAACGAGCTGCGAGCAAATAGGCCAATCGTATTGTTTGTGGGAACAAACATTTTTCGCCCGCTTCATTGCTTGTCACACCCATCAACTTGTCCAATAAAGATTTTAATTTTCATCAATGAATATAAACGCTGCGAGGCCGAGGTCCACAATGATTTTGCACAAACACGTGGGTAGGCAGCATATTTGTTACGCCAAGTCAGAGGGCTGAATTTTGATGGAATTCACAGTTTCAGATGCAAGTTGCCTTTCATGCGCGAACTGGACGGGTAGGAGCTTGGTCATACTTCCTAGGTTTTGCAACAATCTCGCCTGTAAGTTTAGGTGGCTTTAGTGTGGCCATGGTCTGTCGCAGTTTTAAAATAGCAAGATAGGCCCCTCCCTCGAAGCTCTCTGCTTGTTCTGATTGGTGGTTTCCTCCTCTCCAGCATTTGCTCTTCTAAAGTGGAAAGGGTAGAGGGCTTTGTGAGAGAAGCTTGCCCCGCGAACCTGCAGCAGACTATGTGGAGTGCAAGTTTGTCTGCTCTTTGCGCCGAGCTCAGGGCAGCTAATATTGAGGTCTACCCACTATCCTTTCGATTGGAGCCAATCGGAGCTTGGTTTTCTGATATCACTGCAACCCCTGTGTAAGAAACAGACAAACTTGCACTCCGCATAAGAATCCACCGCTTGACTCCAGTCATCTGCATAGCCGTCCGCCGTTGACCCGGGTAAGTTTCTTGGCCCTTTGCAGAAAGGAAACTACACTTTTTTTAATTTTACAAGAAAATACCGACCTGTGAAATATACCTTTGACCAAAAATTCAGATTGCAACGTGTGGGCAATTTTTATGGCCCATCTTAAATCGAGCCTGGTTATTTCAGTTGCCCTATGCAGAGAGAAAGTCGTCTGCTTCTAGCACAGGAGTTGCAGTGACGTCAAAACGACACTGAGCTCTGATTGGCTGTGATTGAAAGGATAGTGGGTAGACCCCGGTGCTAAATGCTTTGAGGTCTATCCGCTATTTTTTTTTCAATCGGCCAATAAGAGCTCGACGTTCTGACATCATCGCAACCCCTGCAAAGAAGCAGACGAACTTGTGCTCCGCACATATTCCAGCACCTATGAGGCCCGCTCGTGGAAGTAGTCGTGGCCGTAACGTTGCCCTTTCCACTTAACGCGCGGTCGTTTATTTAGTAACTGCGTCACTTGCGCCACCGCGTACGCTGATGGAGCCGTAAAACGGCTCGCGACGCTTCCGGAAAAAAAACAAAAAAAACAAGTAAACTCGGGAGCGCATCTTTCGACTCCGTTCGCCTCTATTTTGTACGATTTTTAGAGTGTTAGCAGCGCCGATAGCGGCCCAGACGGTTAAAAAAAGAAAACGCTAGACGCGAAAAAAATTCAAACAAAAATAAGAGCACAAGCAGCGCCGCTACGCGTCCGCTAGCGGAAGTAAATCGTAAACAGACGTGGAGGCGATCGTGGTTGAGCGGCGGCCCTGCTACCGTGATTTCCTTCGACATCGAAACAAACTGCCAGAATCGGCGCAAGGTTGCGTTGATCTGGCTGGCCGACGAGGCAACGTCCAAGAACACCGCTGGACCCGCGCTGGCAGCGAGACACGGGCGGTAAGTGTGCGATAGCGAGTATTCGGTGCGTGTGCCTCGCTATCTTGCCATCATGGACCACCCTCGTTTTGCGGAAGAGAGCATTCGAGCTCGGTCTTTTTTCTGATTGTTATTTTTGCGGTGTTTCGCTTTGTTTTAATGGCGTTGGAAACGCTCGGCATTTGGTGCCGCCGTCGGGAAACAATCGTTTGATGTATACGGCCTCAAAGTCTTCATTCGGCGTCGGAATTCTTGTCTTGGAGGGGTTCCGCGCAGAAACGTACGAAGGGAGGAAAGGGAAAAAAAAATAGAAAGCGCGGCAGAGAGAGATGAGCGCTTTTATTTTTTCTGCCCTTTAACCACGTGACGCGATCGCCATTGCTGTCTGGGAATCTTATTAGGCAATTCATTGTATGCTTGTGTGTTGCAGCAAGGTTATTTATTTTCCGCGTGTCTCGCGATACAAGGTCCCAAGACGTCGGATGGCCACCGGAAGTTTTCGCGGGGTGGGCTTTGTCGGTCTCATCAAACTAGGAAATAAATAAATAAATAAAGGTCGGCTACGTTTTGAAGCGGCGACGGCTGCGACCGTACGAGGTACTACGGCGGCGAGACTGCAGCCAAAAAATATATAAAAAGCAAAACGCTGGCAAGCTTTTTTTTTTTCATTTTATTTTTTACACGCTCGGTTTCAGGTTTATAGGGCCACATTTTTGCCATTCCGCCTTGCTCGGTTTGGTCGCCGGGCTCGCACGGTCTCGGGTATGCGGGATGTGTATTCGGTCCGTCAGTCCGTATTTTGGTGCGTTTGTTTTCTTTTTCTGACATGGACCCGGAAATGGGCTACGTGATTTTCCCTTCGATTGACCTCAATGAGAACTGGCGTTTCGAGGGCGGCGGGTAGTGTGTGTGCGCGCGCGCCGCGTTTTCGGCATACCTTTTTGCAATTCGCCGCGGGCATTTAGTTCGTCGACGGTGCTAACGCAGCTTTTTCTAACAGTTCATCGCTCAAGGTCAGTCGTGTTGTTTACGCTAGAAGCTTGTGTTCTTTTATTTTTTTTTCTATCTTGTGTGTCGTGCGTAAGCGCTGACGTCATGTGTCAGCCACGAAAGGCTTGTAAAAAAAATGAGGCGCTTGAGATGCGTGTTTTTTGCGGGGGGTTTATCGCGTTTGTGCGGTGTTTCAAAGTTGTTGTTTTTTTTTGGGGGGGGGGGGGGGGGGTAAGTTGGTATTTGACAGCGGAGGTTTTTTTTTTTTTTTTTTTCTTTTCTTTCATTGTTGTGTTACAATCGTACACAAACTCAGTCATAAAGCAATCCTCAGCGTTATTTTATTTTGATACAGAGGTCGAAGCTACAATGGCACTTTGTTATCTACTTCTATGAGGTCTTAGGAAGAAATTGGTAAATCTAACCTGTTCTTTTCTTGTGCAGAAACAATCGGAAGCGAGAGGATATTGAAATTGGATGCAGAAAACCTGCAATGTTACATAGTTCTGTGATAGTTGCAACTGTGGTGTTTATTAGACAAGGTTGGGAGAGATATAGGCACATAGCTAAGCTACCCCTCCTGTACAACAAATCTATTAAAAAGAAATACACGAATGGTGCCCTACTTGTGTCGTCTTTCACCATATATGTTTTGCATGTGACGCCATATGGCACCGTACCATGCTCCCTTGCCCGTACGTTCTGCAGCATACATTTCGTACCATTGAATTCATTGTTCTTGGCAATATTTGCCGAGGAGAACAAATCAATGGTGCCAAATGTATGCTGCAGAAAGTATAGGCACAGGGGCATGGTACAGAGCAATGGTGGCTGATGTGACATCAATACAAGCTCTGTATTGTGCTAGAAAGGCAACATCTGCTGCATGTTTCATTTCAAGTTGGTGTGCTGCTTGTAAAACCATCCAAGAAATCCCACATTTGTTTTTGCTCTTTTTGGTGGAAGATTGAATGTAATCATATATGGTCATGCTGACCTCTGAAGTTGTTTGGGACCATCAACAAAAAGTAGCTCTAAGGAGCATAATTGCACACTGTTGTGTGTTTCTGCAAGCATCTGTTAGCCTACACCCATTCTAATTTCTAGAGCGATGCCAATGAAGTTACTGAAGTGGGTGGCGAGAACAGAGTACAACTGACTACAATGTAGCAGCTCTACATTGTTAGGAGAAATGGACGGTGGTGGCCACATTTGCTTTGTTCCTAGCTCCTTGCAAGTTACCTCCACTGTTTTGTCAGCTGCAGAAACACTCTGCGCGAAGAAGAATGCCGTGAGTTTTTTTTACAATTCAAGTGCGGTAGATGTTTGCTAAGAAAACCTCGTGGCTTGGATGACTCCATTGGTGCCAGCATGGCTGCTAACGACTTATTGATTGGTTTCTCTCTTTGTTAGCGGACACCATGAACTGTGGTGCTGTAATGGACTTCAGTGGTCAGTACGGGTAGAAGCCGTATGTTCAAACGCAGTGTGTGTAGTGAGGACTTTTTTACGATCTTTGCAGGGGAGGCAACATCTGAACTTACCATGCAAAAGCCTGGAGGTGACAGGACCCCCAAAGCACTTCTACGACACTAGTTCTTCACCTTAGTCTTGTAAGTACGCTTCCTGCTCCTTCCGTTGACGAGCAGCCCAGAGTGCTGTTCCTTCGGGTAAGGTAAACAAAAAAGCTGAGCATCCTGCGGTCGGATAAAAGTTAAGAATGTGCCAAATAAACATCACCAAGTATTAGCCATGGAATTGAATTGCTCTGCAGACCAACCACGGTAGGCAGTGGTCATGATGACTTATGTGCTGTCAGTGCACCATTCTTGTGGCTGCACCTTGGTAGCGAACTATTTGCACGTTGCTGACGAATACTGGCTGGCGATAAGCAGGATGTGGGAGGAGCTTCTGGCTCATACTTAACTTGTATCTGACCATAGTATATGTGTTGGCACTTGTGTGTGCACTTCTCTTCTTTCCTGTTCGTGTTTCAGAATGCAATGCGAGAATGCAAAACTGCACATTAAGGTCAAGTGGGTGTCTACAGGATGAATGCCGACTTCTACTTCTCTGTGCTTGTCCATTGCTGTATTCATATTTTCATTGTCTATCAAACAGACTGATCTTGCTAACCATTCAACACTTGCAAGTTGCCACCATAACTATGGTCCACAGGAGTCGGGCTGCGGTGCACAAGACAGCTTGTGCCGTCTCATGCTCTGCTTGCTCACACTTGCAGGGGGGGTTTGCGCGCATGCAGAGATGCGCTCCCATTGTGCGTGGTGACAGCGACGGCGTATCAAAAGTGGCCTGTGAGATTGGTCTATTCACCTGTCAAGACTTGTTGTTCCTTATTCCGGAATATGCCAGAGCTTCTACAGTATGCAGAAATCCAGCTTCCAGAATATCAATTTCCAGGATTACGGCCTTCAGGGGTCTTGCACATTCATGGATGACATGAGGGAGGAAATTCACTTTGAGAGAAACAAAAAGTGATGCCTGTTCTGTTCTTTATGAGTCTGAAGCTGGCATTATTAAAATGGACTATAGTTGTTGACAGGTTAGGCTTTCAGCGGAAGCTCCTCCCACCTCTTTCCCCTTCACCAGAGTGAAAGCTGGAGAGGAGGTCGCCTCCTCCCACTGTTTGCTCTGCTAAATTGAAAAGGAGCTTCCCCTGAACTCCTAACCTGTCACCAACTATACACCTTCCCAAGAAACACTCGACCCCAGGGGCAACAAACCGTTTTTGAGCCCAGTAAATGGGACAGAGGCTAGACTCTCGCCGGCGTCACTGGTAACCCTGACCGAGTGGACTGTGATTTCGATAGGCGCAGTTAGAACGCTGCAGACGGCTAAATTCTCATCTTTTCCTGCTGTATTTTGTGTTTCATGGTGTATGTATTTTCCCGAGGGCATTGAGAAAGCATTGCACCACATTTAAGAAAACAAAAAGTAAACAGAACAAAAAATTTCGTAAACTATTTTTGTTGGGTACGCGCACGACAGAACAAATGCAACTAAAATGTTAGTTTTTTTGTTTTTTTACGATAAGTTTATATGGTTTTGCCTGATTAGCCGCATGTCAAACAACAAAGCGCTTAGCTGTAGAAAATAATTTACAACTGAAGATAGCCGAAGAGCATGCATTTTTAAGGCTCACAAATAAAGTATTTATCGATAAACAGGATACGGACATACAATTTAGCAAGTGTTAACATTCTAACAATATAGACCAGGGGTGGCCAAGCCGCGGCTCGCGAGCCGCATGCGGCTCTTTGCTGGTCCAAGTGCGGCTCGCAGATCCCTCGTAAGGAGACCCCCCTCCCCTTCGCCCTTTTCCGCATTTCCCCAGGAAAAACAAAAAAAAGGATTTCAGAAGAAAGCACACTGCAGCTTGCAGTTTGACAGCCTTGTACTCCCATACGTACAGCCTGGCCACCCCTGATAGAGACCAACATGTGGCCCTGACGTCCCGCCGCTGCGGTGGCGCTGTCGACGGCCCTGCACATGCGCAGATGCTTCACTTTACACAAGTTTGGTTTCTGCGCACGCGCAGTGCCCACACCTGGTGTGGGCAAACGCGGGCTTGTTTGTAAACAGCCTGTCGGTCTATATTGTACGTACCACACAATACAGCATTATCTAAAAAGAATTTATTTGAGAAAGATCTCAAATAACACAGTCACAGTAGACAACAGTCACATCTTGGCGATCGGACAGAATCCAAAATAACTTTGTTTTGGGGAGAGCTTACTTTTTTCACACTAGCACCAAGGCAAAGGAACAGGCACGACTGACTCCAGCCCGAACAACTATTTTTGGCTATGGCTAAGAAGGACTTTACTCAGATTATCTCTGGGAGAGGGGAGAACAGTTGTAATTGTTCGCAAAATCGTGTCGAGATCCTTTTAACGTCCCCTCCCCTCCTCCGTTTCCCGTGGATGTCGAGCAGAAACTCTTGAATGGCAGGCACTTACCAGCCCTATTTTTCACATAGGAAGATAACACACAAAGGGTATGCAGCATGCATCAGAAAAATTAAGTGTAAACTTTCAAGGTGCGCAAAACTGCAAAACATGGGTAGAGAATTGCGCTGAGCAGATTTCCACACTTTGAGAGAGTGGGAGAAAATTTCTAGCTGATAGGAGGCGCGAGAGTCGCATCAGCAACATGGCAACGGCCTAGGAGCGTTTTTTGGACAGGTGTATAGGTAAGGTTAAATGTTTTTAGACACCAATTTGCCAATTTCAGACAAAATATTAATTTACCTTGCTACACTTGTGCCCTGACGTCCGCAGCAGCCAATAATGTTATCTTAAATGAAGTAATTGCTTACCCCAATTGTCCTTTTTCTAGGAATATTTTGAGTTATAATGAAAGTACCCTGTATATTCATTTTCCATTGTAGCAGTGCAACATTAAATGACATTTAGCCACCACAAATGTAAAGACCAACGTTTTAAAGCTCAAAGGTGACTGGGAAACAAACATGTTGACTTTCTTTTGCGTTTTCCCGTGTTGGGCAGGTGCAAGCTGATCATAACAATGCATTACTATAAAGAAAAAAGACGAACTTTTTATTTGGTTTTGTTATTATGTAGCTGTCACATCATCTGTGTGTTCTTTATTGTTAACAAGGCTTCTTTCTCCGATTTCAAGGAAATCAAAGAATAAAGCTTTTATTATTTACAAGTTGAACATCAAAAGTATGTTCTTCAAAGGTCTCTTTGGAAAAGGTTGTTTTGTTTTCTGGGAACGTTTTTGCTGCTGCACGTATACCTTTTGTGCTTTTAATGCAAAAGCATTAACTCTCATGGAGCGAGCTGACGTCATCAGTTTGGAGCGTGAAAACGGCAGATAGTTTCCGCGCGCCTTCTGCTCTATTGGCTGGCACGCGTCGTTGGGGCTCCCATTTGCCGCTGCACCATAGCTTTGAGATCCCGAAACGCGCGCGCTAGTACGCAGCAGACGACAAAGGGAGTGGACGAGCGGCTTGCATGCTTTCGCATTAACAACTCGTAAGGAATGCTTAGGTGACACCTCGAGCTTTTTTTGTTTTCGTTTTCCATTATTCTCTTTTGGCTGTTGTCATAAAAATATGAATTAGAAATAGAGAATATTAGGATTGTCCAACTTGGGTTTGCAACCTTGAGCACTGTTGTACGAACTCTCTGGCAGTGCCAGCCAATGAGTGGGGTTCTGCCCATTAAATTTGTCTGAAATCCGTCTGTGTTAAAATTGGTCCTGAAAAGACACTGACAGGTTATTTATGCTCGCCAAAGTTTTTATTTCTACATGACAAATGAGAGCCCAACTATCCATAACCCAATTTACAGCTCAAAATTTGGTTTCTTTTCGCCCGAAAACCGCCGATCAGGAACTGGCTGTTTTGAGTCGCACTCGCTCTCATTTCCGTAGTAATGAGCCATTTTCTATGGTTCAGACACAACCACTAAAAATAATCAGTCGCGGATCATCAAAGGCACACACCCAATACTAAAAATCGACTGAAAATAAAACACTCATTTTTTGTGACATAAAAAAAAAAAAAAAAAAATGTTGCGGAGCCACTTGATTTTTGGTAACTTTCCCTTCCTCTATATTTCTTCTTCCTCCCCAGTTCGGTTTCGGTTTTGAGCAGTTGCTTTTTTTTACTTTACTAAAAATATATGCGACGCTGTAGCAAAATATTGATTGGGTAGTCTTATGAAACCATAATAGATCACCTGGCAAAATATAATAAAATAATTTGTGGGGCTGTCAGTGTCCTTTTAATTAAGGGAAGCTAAAGAGGTTCTTGAGAAAAACGAGTTAGAAATGAATTCTTGCATATTTTGGTCCCATGAATTCGAATATCACAAGAATTTGACCCGAACGTATCACTAGACGCTAGAGAAACCAAAAAATGAACCTCTGGGTGTGTCGTCATACCCAGAAGTTTCAACTGCCCTGCGTGTGCCGCTCGTGAGAGAACGTGTGCAGCCCTTTAGACTGTTCGGGCAAGTCTTGTGGAAGGTGCGGGAATGTTTAGGTCCCTGCATAACATCGCAATTTCCTCCTTCCACCAAACGTAGCCGGGAGGAGGCGGGACTTCAGTGCCGTTTTTAAAGCGTTGTTGTGGCTACTTGACACATGAGTCTGTAATGCAATTTTGATATTCGTGATCCTGGAGGCCAAATGAAGATGATCTAAGTGTTTTTTTCTCAAATACAGAACTGCTTCAGTTTCCCTTCAAAAGAGCTCCCTTTTTAAAGTTTTTTTTTATATAATCAAACAGTCCACCCTGCTATTCAGATGAATTTTCTTCGGTTGCAAGCACCTAAGTTGTGTCGCCCTTTCGCACGTAAGCAGGGGGTCATTTGAGGGACGAAATAGCGGTGCTTCAAGAAAACGCCATTCTTTTAAGCGTGCCAGTGCAACGAGCAAGGGACGCAACTCTAGATCAACCAGAAGCTAGTGAAACAATGCCTCGAAATATTTCTCCTCCCGCAGTTGATAAGGGGCAGAAGTTCCTTTATCAGCGGCGGTACAATCCGGTGTGCAGATAACCACGTCGATATGTCGTCCCCTCCCCCACGCTCTGTTTTTCGCGCACGACGCGCACGTTTTCGGAGCGAGCGTTACAGGTGTCGGAAGGCAGCTTGCGAGAACTGCCCAGATAACCAATTTTGCGTTTTCCCTGTGGCGTCGGTGCGGCCGCTCTCTTGCCGGTATTGTTCCTGCCCTCCCCCTCTGGAGCCACTTGTCAGTCGAGTTCGTTCTTCCCTAGCTTGCCCCCTATCTCGCGAGCGCCGATTGTGCCTCCCGAGAACACGTAACGTGCCCAGCCTTGGCCCGCTCTCCGCACGACGGGAATGCGGGACGAGCAAAAGTAAGGCGCCGGTGGGTTTAACTGGAGCGCACGTCGCTGCCGTCCGTGTTTGCGGGATGTGGCGGCATTCCAGTTGCGCCGCAGCGCTGTGTTCCCGTCTTCCGCGCACACTGCAGAGAATCAACTGTCTTGGGGGGTGCCTGGTGCCACGTCGCTTTAACGTGCCGCGTTTTTCCGGTTTCTGCGGCAGGCAATTGGGTATGGGACCAGACTGATGCCAGTCATGTCTGCGAAGGCCAAAGACGTGCCCCCTCGTGGGAACGGGCTGGTGTCGCTCGCGGAGCAGGCGACCGACATCCACAAGACTGGCTATCTCAGGAAACTCAAGGTGGGTGCAACTTGGCGATGTTTGAGGGCCAGTGTCCCTCCAAAAACAACCAACTCTCGTGTCACTCATGTTGGAACTTTATGAAAGAAAAAACATGTTATTTGTTATATTATGGCATCCATGTAAAGGTGTGTAGATGCAACCTTGAGGTGGGAACGAGATATTCCTCGTTAAATTCGAGGTTACTGCTACGTGTTCATCTCGTCGTGCGGCTCGTTAACTTAGCAGCTCGTGAAGTTTTAGTCATAACGCCTGTTCAGGTGGGAAGTTCATGCTGGACTTTCAAAGCCGTGAAATTTCATCTTTCGAGTTCAGGCTGTTTGCCTATCCTCGTTGGTTGTTATTCTTCTCTTTGCCAAAACAACCTTGCATAGAGTTTATTACGATAGAAACCATTGTTTAGTCCCGGCAGTCATTTGAGTAGATGAGCATCGTCACGGCAACAGCAGACAGGAGCCGAGCGATTTTGAGATTGTTGTTTACTTGTATCCTGCGAAGCTTTTGTAACCCTTCTTAACCGACGTAGTTGACTTGGGTTGATTTTATCCTTTGTCAGATGTCTCGTTGATCTGCCGCTAGGTGCAGGGAGGGCTAGGACGTAATCATTATCGGAATGCCATTACCAATCGCAGTGAGCCAAGGTATTGTTGACGGCTCACTTCTCTTTCGGAATATTGTAGAATGTTAACGAATATGGAACCCAACCACAATGCGCTCTCAGTTCCTGGGGCACCAGAGTCGATCGTGTACACTATTTATTTACTGCTCGGGAAAGGTTAGATGCACAAGCTCCTGCGTCTAGAACAGAGGACCTCAACCTTTTCGATCTCTCTCTCGACTGCTAGCTGAGGGAGGAGCCCTCTCTGGTCTCAGTATTGACACAATAAAGCAGTGCAGAAGCGTACAGACTTAATAAACAATGATGCACATGCTGAAGAGATTGCGGCACATAATCACTGATTGATGGATGACTCCGATCTTCAGAATCGGTGCTTGACATCTGAACTACTCAAGTGATCGGAATGAAATTTGCAGGGGAGATTTGTCCGATGTAGGTGTATTGTGCAAACTTTCAGCTCTCTGGGACAACTTTCCATATCTGCATAAGAAGATGTCACTCTTTGTTAAGAAATTTATGATATGAAAACAGAGCTATGAAGCACCATTTTTACTGCTTGAATATAAAGCGGAGGATGTGCACTTAGGGCTGTCTAGTTTTTGTAACTCAAATGTAAATATTTTAGGAAGAGTTATTACCTCAAAATATGATATGCATATTTGTCTTGTGTCAATTTTTGAAAACATAGCTTTTGTCAATGGGGACATCAGCTTAAGCTAAACTAGATAGGCCGATTCCTCAGTAAGTTCCAGTTCAGAAACATCTTGATTGTGGTATCGGAATGCTTTTACCTTCGAACAAATTATTTCATCGTATAAAATTTGCAGCAAAAAGTGGAACTGAGAAGTGCATCCAAACATGGAGCTCCTTTAATTTGTTCCTGCCTCACAATGTGTTGAAAATATTTTATATCAATGTAACTATTTGGTGTATGGTTATCAAGTTTAGCGTAAAGGTGTACAATTAGTTTGTAAAACTGAAAACCTCAAAATTAAAGAAATGAATTTTTTTTTTTTTTTCTGTTTAATTTAGGTTTATGTTTCCTCCTATCCTCAATGAACACTTGAGTAGGGGCAGGGACGATCGAGGAAATATGGGAGCTCGGGGCAGCCCGGCAGCCTCAGTGGGTGACGTGTCTCGCGCGTCCCTGCAGACGATGAAGAAGAAGTTCTTTGTGATTCGACGAGAGTCCGAGGCCGGCCCGGCACGCCTGGAGTGCTACGACAGCGAGAAGAAGTGGAAGGCCGGGGCGCTGCCCAAGCGGACGGTGGTGTTGCGGCTGTGCTTCAACATCAACCGGCGGGCAGACGCCAAGCACCGGCACGTGGTGACCCTGCACACGCGTGACGACTCGTACGCGCTGGTGGCCGAGTCGGAGGAGGACCTTGAGGCTTGGCTCACGGAGATGCTCCGGCTCCAGCACGGGTCGCACGAGCTGGACGGGGACACCAGGCCCAAGCCCCTCTTCGGTGAGCGGCAGAAGCGACGCCACGTTGCGCGGGAAACCATGAAAGTTGCTTCATTGACGTCGCAGCATTATAGTTTCTTCTGCTAACGGGATATGAACGGTCTGATTACATTCTTACAACCTAGGAAACGGAGCTGTAGAAGTCACTCTCTAGGAGAAGTCTTAGCATTACAGTTAGAATTGCTTCTGCTAAAACTATGCTAACAATACGGTTCCATTCTTACAGCCTAGAAGGCAGAGCTGTAGAAGTTGTTCTTGAGAGGAAGTCTTGGCGTTAAAGTTCTGCTCAAATGATGTTAGTTATACGGTTACATTTTTGCAACCTGGGAGACAGAGCTGTACGAGCCGCTCGTTGGAAGAAGTCGTAGCATAACAGGTGGAGTTTTTTCTGGTGGACAATGTTAACAATATGATCACATTCTTACAACCTGGGAAGCGGGGCTGTAAAAGTTGCTGTTTAGAAGTCATAGTGTTACAGTTAAAGTTGTTTCTGCTAAAATGATATTAACAGCATAGTTAGTCTTACTACGTACTTGGGAAACTCAGCTGTAAAAGTTTCTCTCTAGAAAAAGTAACTGAATTACGGTTAGAGTTGCTTCTGCTAAAGTGATGTTAACGGTACAATTACATCCTTACAACTTGGGAGTCGGAGTTGTGGGAGTTGCTCTTTAGTAGACGTCGTAGCATTACAGTTCGAGTTGTTTCTGCTAAAGCAGTGTTAACAAGAGTTGCATTCCTACAACAAGGGAAGGAAAGCCGCAAAAGCTGGGCTTTAAAAAAAGTAAGTGTAATTACTGTTAGAGTTGCTCCTGCTAAAATGATGTTAACAATACAAGTTACGTTCTTACAACCCAAAAAGCAGAGATGTGAAAGTTTGTCTTTAGAAGAAGTAATTGCATTACAGTTAGATATTTCTGTTCAAACAATGTTAACAATGAAGTTACATTCTTACAAAGGTATCTGTAGCTACAGTTTCTCTCGGGGGAGGAAAAAATGTCCAAGATATTCCACCCCTAGACATCGTGCTGTGTTGTGCTACACTCATCACGCAGCTGCGCTGCTTAGCTCGGCCGTTATGGTATCCGGCAGGGAATTGCTCGGTTGTGGGTTTGATTTCTATCAAGAGCGTTTCTCACATTTGTTTTTACATGGGCCCTGGGGGCCTTTGTGACTTTAAGCTATGTGTAATGCTTGAACCTAACAATCGAACATGATGAAAGAATCTGAGTTTTTTCATAGAATTTTGCTGATAAGATACATTTTGTTTTAAAATGTGACTAAATTACATTGGAGTGGTAGGGATGTTGCATACAGTAAAACGTCGTTATAACAAAGTTGAAGGAGCGGTCATAATTATTTCGTTATAACATTAGTTTGTTATAGCCAATGTCCATTTCTTCCCACTATTAGCAAGCAAGGGGAATTATGATTGCTTTGTTATATCCATTAGTTTGTTATATCCCTTTTTGTTATAACGAGGTTTTACTGTACTACATATATGGCTCATTGAACAATCTTAACTTTACAGTTTATTGGGCCAGATAAACTTCCCACAAAACCTCCGCTATTTGACGAACATGCGAAACTTTTTTTTTTTTAATTCAAGTCATGCCTGCATGATTTGGGTAAAAGGCTAAAAATAAAAATCACGATTTTTCTTTAAGGTGAGATTGAGATTATTTTTATAAGACAAAGCTCCAAAGGGTCACTGTGATATGCAGTTCAGTGACGTAATGATATTGCGAGAAAGCTGCAATTGGTGCTGTCACCGTCGTCGTCAGTTCGTACGACCCTCTCGGTGGCCCAGAATGCGTCTTTTACTTTGAGGAAATGAGCTTAGCCAGTAGGTAACCGGGCCATCGAAAAATACCGTCGTGCTTTTAATCTTTGACCTAGGGAAGTGCACGCATTAGACTTTATAAACTGTGCGTCTACCGCCCAACTACTTATCCCCGAGAAATAATGACCCCGATTTGTGCGGTCTGCTCAATCAACAGTGTGACGGATTGAACTGCTCTGCGCTTTTCTGGTGCGCTTGCTTTTGGATTGCAGTGCGACTCAAACCCTGTTGGTCCTTTCAGAACACGTGTGGCAGGTGAACGTGAAGCCGAAGGGCCTGGGCAGCAGCCGCAACATCACTGGCCCCCACCGGCTATGCCTCACCGCCAAGGCCCTCACCCTGGTGAAGATGCACACCGACGACGAGGACCCAGAGACTCTCGAGTTCCCTGTGAGTTGGACCCTCCCCTGACGCCCCGTTAACATGTGCGCTTGGAGGCAACATATAGTATACCGGGGGTCTTGCTTTATCCGAACGATTGGGTTCCAGATTACGGTGCAAGAAGAATGGCAAAATTGGGAAAGTTATAGTACTGCCTGGCATTGCCGTCGGAGTCACTACGGCCCATTACAATAAAATGGGCAGCCGGCCACCTTCCTATTTGAATACAGGTGAACTTTTTTGTTAGAGTTGTTATTTACTATAGAAGGCACCGTTCTTCGGAACTAGGTGTCTGCTTATAATCGCGATCGAAGAATGTCGACCTATTGGCAATTTTCGTCACAATATTTAACCTACTTCCACTGCTTCATTTTTCGACCGCCAGGCACTGCAAATATCCGATTTGCTCGAGAAGGCTGGCAAGCGAACCTGCCGCCGTGGCTTTCTCTTTTAGCCGCCAAGTGGCATTGATTGCACTGGATTGCCAATAAGATTGAGTAAAATTTCTGAGCCCATAGAGCCAAAAGGTTAAGTAAGATTTTCAAGCCCATCGATCTAACGCAAAAGCTCTCCTGCATCAGTTGCTGCTCTTAGCACATCAGTGTGGAGCGGTGAAGCTTGATACACGCACCAGTTGAAAAACAGTAAAATTCGATGAGAGCTCGGACTCTGAAATGAAAAAAGAAGAGGGCAGCCGCTGCGTAACGCGTTCTGGGGGTTTCTTTTTCTGGAAATACGAACCTGGAAGGGATGCGCAACGAACGGGAAGTTTATGCACATATCCCTTTGGGAGTTTAGCTGTCGGGAAAACGTATAAACTGAAAATGTATCAATCGGGTTCTACTCAGAGATTATTTCGGGAACCTCTTAAAGGAACACTGACACCCCCCGAAATGCTTTTTTTTTTTTGCCAGATGATTCATTATGGTGTCAGAAGAGTACCCAATCAATATTTTGCTACATTATGAAATATATTTTAATAAAGTCAGAAAATGCAACTGCTCGAAACTGAAACCGAAACTGGACTGGAGAGAAAGAAGAAATATAGAGGAGGAGAAAGATACCAAAAATTATTTGGCTGTGCAACTTTTTTTTTTTTTTCAATCTACGTATTTGCAGCTTTTTAAAAGCCACAAAAAATGGGTATCATATTCTTTGTCCATTTCTAGTATTGAGTGTGTTTGTTCGATAGCCCACGACTCTGATTACCTTTGGTGGTTGTGTCTAAACCATAGAAAATGGCACGTGACCACGGAGAAGAAAGTGAGTGCGACTCGAACCGGCCAGTTCTCAATCGGCAGTTGTCAGGTGGAAAGAAAACGAATTTCGAGACGCAAATTGTGTTCTGGATAGTTGGGCTCTCGTGTCATGTACATAAAAAGACCTTGGTGGCCATAAATACCCTGTCAGTGTCACTTTAAGAATCACTCTACGCGGGTAGGCAAGAAAGTATTGGGGCATCTCTTTTCCATTGGGGCATCTCCCATTTCTCTTGTTTAACCAAGCAATTAGTTTATTGGTTGTTTTTGTCCAACTACTAGGTAGTTGCTATGCCTTTGTTTTGCTGAGAATCGGTGCCTTATGATGTGCAGCTGATGAGCATCCGGCGGTGTGGCCACTCTGATTGCTTCTTCTTCATGGAGCTTGGCCGTTCTTCAGTGACCGGCTCAGGGGAGCTGTGGATGCATTCGGAGGACACTGTGATTGCTCAAAACATGCACGAGACCATCCTAGGGTGAGCACTTTCCATCTGCTTATGGCCGATTCACACGACAGACTGATCCACGGACGGATAGATCACGTGACGAGAAGTCCGCGGTTCGTCCGTCTTCCAAGCGCATCCACACGAGGGAGACAATGAGCAGACGCCAGCTAGGGCGGTTTGAACCTGTTCACCACCCCACAGTGCCGCGAAACTCCAACATTGCACCGTGGCTCCGTTGTCCAAGAGAGAAATCGACGTTTGCTACCGCGATAAACAGTCGAACACCACTGTTACGTGCAAACCGAGACAGAACACCGTTATAAGCTTCGCGCGAAGCGCCAATATCTTTATTACTAATGCTAGGCATGACAGTGACACAGACATGGTCCTGCTCGAGAAGGCTTCGGCATAGAAGTGACGAAGTTTTGGGCTTGTGGAGGGGCGTTTGAAGATGCTTTCATGCTTTCTGTGCTCATGCACTACACTTACGTACACCACAGCCACAAGAAAATCTTGCTCGGTGAAAGGCTAATTGGACATGAAAGAATTACCGTGGTGTGCTAGGCGAGTTTTGAGGGAAGCTTCTTGACACGGACCCAGAGGAGCACCGGAACCTGCGTCGCGTCAACCTGATAGTTTCTAGTTTCTGTCATGCGTAGAACCAAGAATTGCACGACAAAATGAACCAGCGAATGCACAAAACGCAATGATGTACCACTTTTGTTCTAATCTTCTGAAGAGACAAAATGCAAGAAAACATTGTACCGTTGCCAGACTAAACGCTTTTCAAGTCAATCTCCCGCCCAAAATCTCGAGTGAAAAGGCGCTCGACTTTATCAGTCCGCGGACAAGGCGCGGATTGCAGGAATCGGTGACGTGACAGTCACGGGGTACACGGTCCGCGGACGAAAATCACGATTCGGTCCGTGCTGTGAATCGGCTACTAGTGGTTAGTTTTCAAACAGTCTCGTAGATGCTATTTGAAAAAAGTCATCAGTTACAATTACTCCTGCTTAAAAAGCGTTCAGTGAGATTACTTGAGATGGAAAGTAACTGGCGGTTACTTGAAAGGTGATTATTACTTCTCCGATTACTTTGGATTTTCAAAACGACAGTTTTTCTGCTGGTCTGAAAACGGGTTTCATACTGTCGATTATTGAATTAGAGTCCCAGAATTAGGAACTACTTATTCCGTTAATACACCAATTTGGTAAACCGTACTCCTGTCAGAGATTTGGTTTGAGGATTCGATTGTAGGAAGCTTGTGCGAACAATGGACGCCGTTAAAAACGAAAGGGGAAAAAAAAAAGTTACGGTTATGAGTAATTTTAGTACTTCCAAAAGTAATCGGATTACTTCTGCAATTAGTTCCTAATAAATGTAATCAACTAATTACAAAATTACTCCCAAAAGTAATCGACTGCTTGTAATGAGTGCCGTACAAGTCTGGTTACAATTGAGGTTCGGTGTTTTCAGTAAGCACTGTTGAACCTTGAAAGTAACCGCCGAGCCTGCTTTATCAAAACCGGGCAAAAACGGTATAACCCAAAATGGGAGCTGTCCTTGAGTAAAAAAAAAAAACCCGAAGTGTCGCTCTAACGAATCTTTATCTCCAACCTCGTTTTGTGTTGGTCCCGGACTCAGGCTGCCCATTGAACATTATCCGAAGCTGTTGCTTCCTTTAAATCCACCCTTACCTTGTTTCCATCGCTTATCGGGATTGGGACGTTTTCCAGGTGTTTGGGTCACGTGAACATTCCCTCAGAGTTGGGGAATCCGGCGTCCTGTTTTTCTTCAACAACCGAATATTGAAATAAAAAAAAGACTGAGAATTTGTCGGATGAAATAAACTCGGAAAACGCACCCCCGTACACGAAGACAAATACGAAACCCCGAAAACAAAGAACCCTAATTATGAAATGCCTTAGAAGACCTTGAGGATTTATTTTTTCTTGCATTTAAAATGGCTGCTATGTAGGGCGATCTGCCATTTCCGTCGCAGTTAATTCCTTTCAGAACCAAAGATAGCCAAATTTAGAAATGGCAGTACCGGCGCCGTCTTGCCTTAGAACCTGTGTTGGCCTCAACGCGTTACAAGTAACGGCATTAACGGTAACATAGTAACGTGCTCGTTACATTTTCAAAATAGCAACGGGGTAATATGCTTGCGTTACGCATTCTTAAGATTGAAATAAATTACATTTCATTTCTCTCGTGTTTCTAGGCACTAGGTTGTATGTTTTGCATTATTTTGTGTTTTTTGCTGCTTTATTTTTTTGTGAGTATTTAGGTAGAACCCTAAAAAGATAAGGCAATTATGTTCACTTTCTAGATGGACATAATGTTTCTTGAAATGCGGCGTTTATACATACCTATAACGTCAAAGAGTAAAATGTGTTGATTTAAAAATAAAAAAAGTAATGTGCGTTACTTTGTAATGGTAACGCATTCCTTTTATTTTGAGGTAGTGTAGGTCGGTGACGCATTATTTTTATTTCCGAGTATTGTTTTTCGTTACTTTTTTTTCAGTAATGCCACAACACTGCTTAGAACCTTATGCATTCCACCTGTTCAGAATCGCTGCTTTAATTATGTATTTTACTAACTGATGATAAAATAAAAAGGGAAGTTAAAAAGAAACATTCTAATGTAAGCTTTGGTGAAACCCATGGGTTATGAAGCAACAGTTAAAAGCCAACCTCCCTGTCATTGAGTTTAGCCTTTTTTCTTGTCTCGTTTCCCTTCCTTCTCTTTTGGTTTTACCACACTGTAGTTTCCAGTCAGGTCGTTTGTTCGGTTTTCTCTACATTGGGCTTGTAAGGGGACAGCAGTATGAGCTAGGCAAGCAGAGCGCTGGCCAAAGCGCTCAAAATCCTACCTTACCCAAATTCATAGGTGGGGGATGTTAGTAGCACTAATAAGTCCTGCCCTCCTGACATTGCTCTGCTTGCCGGTTGTTAGCGCCGATAAAAAATTTAGAAAGGAGTGGGATTTTTTTTTTTTGTTGTTTCCATCGCATCAACACTGGTTACTATATCAGTGGAACATGTATGGCAGTGTTAGGAGCAAACTGCGGAAGTGGGGCTTTCTTTCTTTCGTCGGTTCAGCGAGCCGCAGATGCCTTGCGGGAAAATTTCATTGCTAGGCTGCACTCTCTCGGGTCTAGCTGGTATTGCCACCCTCGCTCTTTAATCAGTTTCTGGTTTCTTAAAGCAGAGTTCTTTATTACATTCTCCATTTCACTGCATTTCTCAAAGGTTTTGGGTTCTCTAGTTGGTGGCAGTGGCAGTTTAAGAATACCATAGATGCTCCACCTCCTGCACGAGCTTTCTGCCACCGATAACACTTCGTCGCGTGTGCAACCAGAGCCCTGCAAAAGGCAACAAGCGCATATAGAAGGTGGAAATTTTACCTGTTACCGAATCTTCGCAATGCGGAGCGCAAGTTTGTCTGCTTTTCGCACATGGGTTGCGATGATGTCAGAAGGCCGAGCTCTTGTTTTCTGATTAAAAAAAAATGAAAGCCGTTTACAACTCCTTGTAACGCCGAATTAGAGCGCAGCTCTTGAGGAGGAGGAGGGAAGGGTACTGAAGATCACGTGTTATCGGGGGTGGATCACGTGACCTGGGGTGTGGTCACGTGACCTTGTTAGGGTCACGTGACCCCTTCCCCAAGGTCACGTGGGGGGTCACGTGGCCCCCAGGTCACGTGACCCCCCAGAGAAATTTTCCTGCTAAATCTAGCGGAAAATTTTGCCCACTAAATCTAGCGGAAAATTTTTCCGCTAAATTTAGCGGGGAAAATTATCTGCTAGATTTAGCGGGCAAAAATTTTCACTAGATTTAGCGGGCGAAATTTTTCCGCTAGATTTAGCGGGCAAAATTTTTTGCTAGATTTAGCGGGCAAAGATTTCCGCTAGATCTAGCGGGCAAAATTTTTCCGCTAGATTTAGCGGGGAAATTTTTCTGTTAGATTTAGCGGGGAAATATTTCCGCTAGATTTAGCGGGAAATTTTTCCGCTAGATTTGGCGGGGAAATTTACCCATAATGCACCGCGCGGTTTCGCTGACGGCGACGGCGACGCCGCTCAAGCCGGAAACGGACGCCTAAGAGCTGCGCTTTAAAATAGTGGGTAGACCTCAAGGCATCCAGCTTTGGGATCTACCCACTATCCTTTCAGTTGAAGAAAATAGGAGCTCGGAGTCGTTTAGACATCACCGCAGCTCCTGCGCTAGAAGCAGACGACTTGCTGTAAAAGTTGTCATCACATGTTTTTCAACCTACTTCCGCGGCTTCATCTTTGGACCGCCAGGCGCCGGGAATATCCAATCACTCGAGAAAGCCTACATGAAAACCTGGTGATTTCGCTGATGTCGCGGGTATAGTGGGGAGGAAGCCTGGCCCTTGGGGCCGCGAACACCGCCTTACGCCACATTTTCCTCATTTCTAATCCCGTGCATTTGCCGGTCGCCCAGGGCCATGAAGGCGTCACGGAACAGGGAGGAGCTGGGGCCCCTGTCCAGGCCACGAAGTTCGTCGACAAGCGAGAACAGCAAACCAATCACGCACAAGCGGCCCGCCCACGGGGCCACGGCCGTCCCTCTGCCTTCTTCCAGCCGAGATCGGTCTGACTCCATGCCGACCTCGCGCAGCCGCAACAGCAGTGAATGCCACACGGACTTCAGGTGAGGCCTGGTTTTTCCTCAACGCTCCCTCCGTTTTCGATTTGCAGGTATTTGACTTACGAGTGCAACAGAGTAACGTCGTCAGTACCAGCTTTAGAATAATGGGTGGGTGTTTGAACTGTTCTGCCTCCAGCATGAGCAGTCTGCGTTCCACAATGTTTTGTCTCCTGGGAGCTTATGGCGTGTAGTTCGGTCGAGTGGCTACGGGTGTAGATGGGCTTGCATTAGGGGCGGGGCAACCGGAAGCTCCTTTCCGACATTCTTGTTCTCTCCGTGGTGAACGAATCACTTCCTAGGGTTCTATGCTTGGGTCGCTCAGTTTTAGGGGCGAAGCTCCTTAGGGTCTAGCCTTGTCTATCGGTCCGGCGTCTGTGCTCACATCGATTGCACTGCCTCCGGGATTGGCCCACTTTTAAAAAAAAATGTGCGCCCGCACGGGGGTTCGTACTCAGGACGCTTGCTTACGAGGCAGACGTCTTAACCACTACGCTTCACTCCAACGTTGCATGTAGCCGCTCAACGTCTATACTGGAGAGGGCGCTGCAGTCAAACGCATATATAATTCCGTTAAACTTTGCATGCATTGGCTCAACGCTTATAGACGAGAGGGCGCTGCGGTCAAATGCTTAACTGCGTATATAACCACGATTTATACCACACATTCTCTTTCTGACATGGACCGTTGACTTAAGCGGTGGAGATGCGTTCCCACGGCTTCTAGCGGATCCAAGCTGATGCGCTAGAGGAACCACTGTCTCTGCATTTCACCGATCATAAAGCAGTAATAATGATGTCGAAACGCAACCCGGAACTCAGCGCTACCTATGAGCAATAAAAAAAAAAAAAGTCAGCACTATCAGCACTACCTATGAATTATAAAATCAGTATCATCAGCACCACCAAAGCTTTGCCTCAATCAACATCATTCACCCCGTGAAGATGTTTCTCTCCTCTTCGCAATCAATGTATTGTTTCTAATTTAGGTATCATGAGGTGTTATTACAATGGCCTAACAACGGCAACTTGAAATTGGCGTGTCACGTGTTGTGGTTTGGGACCTCTTTAGTCGACCAGGTTTGTTAGTTGGCGAGTGGGCACATTTTACATAGCCGCCTTTCAGAGAGGCTCGAGGTCCTTGACATCACTGTACCTGAAAGTCACCGACCATAGGATTCGCCTAGTCCTACACATTTCAGTTCATTTGTTCACTTCATAGCCTTGGTGACAGAAATAGCTTGATATGGTCATAACAAAGGTTGTCACTTTGGGTTCTGGGTAGTTGCTGATTGACTGATTGATTCTTTATGCAAATATAGTAGTAACTTAGTTTCTCCTATGTGGTCGTAGTAAATTGATAGTCATTAATGCATACTGCACACTGAATACTGAAAATAAAAGAAAAGCTCTGCGGAGTTTTGTGTTTGGATACCCCCAGTCCCTGTCTTTCAAGGTAGTGCTGCATTCAACTTCTTTCTCACTGGCTTGAAATGTGATAGTTTGATATTGATTAATTTCGACGAAGCAAATGCGTGCCAGTGCACACTTCGCAGCTGCGTCACGTTTCAGCCTCGCAACCACTTCTTTGAGTGGCCACCGGTCTTCCGGTGGGATGCCAATTGTCTGTTTTCTTTTACAATTGAGGGGCTACGTTCTATAGTGGTACAAGTGCAAATGCAGAGCTGGCCAAAAAGTCGCTCACTAGTTTTATCTGTGCCTGTCAATGTCAATATAGCATTTGAACTTCGAGTATATAAGTGTACAGTGTTCCCTACCACCAAAAGTGGAGTGCCACATGTATAAGTGTAACATCTGGGACCGTGAATATCACGAATGGTACAAGTGTACTTGCACCATTATTGCACGTAGCCCCTCAATTCCGTGTCGCCTATGCGATAACGTCGAGAAAACATACCTTCAAAAAAGAAAATTAGGATTCTGGAACCTGGTGGCAATGACCTGGATATCTTTTCTCCTCGGGAGATTGCACATACATCACCTGCCGCTGCAGGCAAAGCGTATGGTGCCCTGCGATGTCAACTTTTTTCAATTTGATTTTGTTCTTAAATGCATAGCATCTATAAGGTCAGCTCTTGACGTCTTTCGTATCCGTGGCGTGTCACCTCGATGAAGGGAGGAGGCGAGCCTCAGTGAATTTGAGGCCTCCTGCTAAATTTAGTGCACGGGGTTCACATAACATCATCATCGTGATGGCCTTCCCGTCACACCATGACAGCGCACGACACTGTAACATCACGTGCCTCTGCAGTGTCGAGCGACACCAAAACATCGCAGATGACCTATAAATGCTATGCATTTAGAGTGTCTCTGGTATATACCAAAGGTGCTTCGAATTTTTCGTACGGGTGCAAAACATGGCGAATTGAATGTGCGGATTGCGATTTTCAGCGGGGCATCCCGCCTACCCGCGGACTCGTCTGCGACCAGGCCCCAGAATTCTTACGACCGGATGCCCTCTCGCAACAACTCCCTCACGTAGGTTCACGCGTCTGGAGCAACTCCATTTGGTTGGCTTCGTTGAGTTTCCTTAAGGGTGTCCAGTCGTCTTAAAGGGACCTAAAGGGAGTAGGTTATCCGTTGCCAAGAGCTAAGTAATTCTCCTCTTGTTGTTTGTTTGGCTAAGGGGGTGGGGCCATCCGGACGCTAGTGAGCCAAAGTGAGAAAAAGAAGTTTCATGGTCCCTTTAAGCCCTGGCAATTTCTTTTTGTAAAGCAGAGATTCCAAACGCGAAGAGTGCTTAAAGAAGGTGTGAGGGGTATTTTTCTCTAAAACTTTGTTTATGGTGGCCCTGGTGTTCTGTACATTTGCGGAGGTTTGAGCGTACGACGTCGACTCTAATCTGACACAACCTATCTTCGAACAAAGTTCGCATGGTGAGTGAGGAACGTTTTAAAACAGGATGTGTTTCATCAGCTGAATTCTACAAGAAATTCGTCATGGAGGACCGTCATACTGGGCTTGTTACGCAATGCTAAAGGGTATATAGTACAGGGTGTTTGATTTTAATTCAGATTGATTTGAGAAAAGCAGCGAAAGGTAGGATAATGCTGCTAGAGGGAAATAAGGGACTCATCGTACAATAAGTAAAATAATTAGCTAAAATGTGTTGATTAGCTTTAATTATTAACAATAAACATGCGGTTCCAATCAGAAAGTTGCCGAGTGCCGTCTTAAACAACTAGATCAGTCAATTTTAAGGAGACTTGAAGCACGTAAGAAGCACAGTGATCTGCTGAAGCTACCACTCGCGGAACAGGCACAAGGCTAGCGATGTGAAAATGCGGACAATGTCATCATTCGCGTTTTCACACCGTTAGCCTTGTGCTTGTTGCACAAGTGGTAACTTCAGCGCATCACTGCGCTAAAGTTACCAAATGCAGAAGCATGATTACCAGTTGATCTCAAAGACAGCAGAGATTGTAGACTCAGCATAGTTTGTCTCTCTTTGTTGTTTGCTTTTTCCATGCTCTATAGAAAGTCAGACTTGGGGAATTTGTCTGTAGAAAGGTTGTGCAAGATTAACTTGGATAGGCATTACCTAAGGCATGGATGATGTTTCTTGAGTCTGTTTTGCTTAATACTGTTCTTTTTCTAATTGATGGCTGCATTTATTTAGTTGCTCATTTGCAAAAGTGCCAAAAAGGCTCCTAACGGTTCATCAATCGGAAACTGTAGGTTGTCCGGCGCAAAGCTTTGCTAAGGAAATTTTCATTGCCAACCGAATCGTGAAGTGCGCCAAAATGCCATCGTTTTCGGTTCTTGGCATTCAATTCTTGCCCCGAGTCTCCCTTCTAACTTTGCTGCCGTAACTCTAGGGATGAACTGAAAATGGAAAAAAAAAAAGGTCCAAAAGGACTCTTTTTGTACCTGGAAGCCACACCTGCAATCATTTTCTTTTTGCTTTAGGATTGGCTCTTTCGAAAGTGCAAGCAGCACTCTTTCCATGGATGAGGCCGACGGCCCGACCGAATTCTTTAGGTAAGCGTTTTTTATCCGTGTTTTGCCTTGACTACTTTTCTGTGTTGCATACGTACGCTCACCTGGTTTTGCTGATGCTCATTTTAAAACTCTTAGGATAAATAATGTTATTTTCCAACTGCTAAAATTGTCCTCTACTCACATATGTCTATTCAGACCTTCGTTTCCAGTTTTCACCTAAAAAATATTTACATTGGGGCTTTTTTCTTTTTAATTTTAAAACCAGTGTCTTGCTTTTTGCATTGCAGTAGATACAGCCACTCACTGCCTGTGGACATCATGGCTGGACCCAAGGAACCAACCATCAAAGAGGAAGCAGCTGTGGACGACTACCTGATGATGGCCTCACCAGGTGGCGTGTTCACCTTCACCTTTGCTCGAACCAAAAGACTGTCTCCAACTCTGTTCGGGCCATTTGTTTTCCGCGCAACACAGCAGTGCGTGCAGCCTTTTTGCATGTGTTTTCCACGGTTTAACCTTCTACCTGCTACGAAATATTTCATGGAATGTCGTTCGGTCTGAACAAATCACTAAAGTAGCCAAAGCCGACAGGAAGTATGTTTCGCAGAGAGACATTCTGGAGCGCTGGAAGAGTGGAAGCGTTTTTAACGAATCGTCGTCTGCCATGGCTTACGGAAGGTTCCTTTTCAAGAGCGTAGCTGACCCTTTTTAGCTCTTTCGTTGGGGGTTATGGTTGCAGCAGACATCTGTTGGTGACAGGGTCTGGCCAGCTCGAGGCAAAAGATGTCGTGTGGCGTTAGCAGGTAAATGTTTGGCTTGACGTTACTGGATAGCGAGATGACTGGAGAACTATTGCTGCTGCTCGCGCTCTGCATTCGCTACCGTAAAATACTGAAGAAGTGTCCACGCAAAAGTTGGAGATAATCGCAAGAAAAGAGGGGTGGGCGCTTGTTAGGTTTAAGAGCGGGAAGGCAGAAGGGGCGCACGGTAGAGGAGGCCCTCGTTTATTTGACGGAATGGTATACACCTTTTCCACAAGGGTGCGGCCATCTTGAACGTCGTCACTTCTGGTGTGCGGTAAACCATTGTTTTGGTCTCCACACTGCTGGAAGGTGTTTATGAAGAAAGCATGATTGTCCCACATTCTTGTTTTGCCTCATCTAAATTTTCTCAAATATTTTAGGTTGAAATGTTTTATTATTTTTTCGTCCCGCATACACACGCGACTGAGAACGACAGGAAACAGAAAACGTCTGTAGGAACGGTGCAGGGGTCTGGTGCGACCCTTCATTTTTGAAGCAGCCATGCCGCTCTCGACAGGTCTATTTTGTGCCGGGGCTCTTGCGTCGAGCTTTGCCGCTTCGCACCGTCCTTGGAGAGGCAGTTGACACAGATTAGCGCCTAAACTAGCTCGGTGGGCTCGGAAGTCTGCTGGGGTGGGCGTTTGATGTGTTCTTCGTGTATATATTTAAAAAAATTTAAGAAGTAGGTGGTGGCCACTAAATACGACATGGGCACATGCTCAGTATCTTACGGTAGGTGGTAGTGACATTTGCCTCGCAGGCACTGCGAGGCTGGAATGCGTAACTGTCCTAATATGGAGTGGTTGGGCTAGCATTTCAGACGTTCTTTGCTCGGCTTACAAAATCTGAAACTGTTGTCTGTGTGCATTCTTGCTACGCTAATGTCGTTTCCCCTCCTTCATCGTAGTTTCCGGAAGCGAGTCTTCCTTCGTTCACCGTCCCACCACGCTGGGCAGTCACGCGATGGACGCTCTCCATCCAACGATGAAGACGTCGGAGTCCAACGATTACCTCAAGATGTCCATGTCTCCCTCCTCGTCCATTCCTGAAGGGAACGGTAGGCTCGGAATTTTGTTCCCGACACCTTGGATCTGTAAAATCGTCTGGAGCGAATGTTTAGACAGTTGAAAGTTAGTCAGCCCTGATGGGGGTCTGGTGTCCTGGCGGCAGACGAAAAATTTGACCAGTGCTGTACCGCTACGAGCCTGGGGTCTTTAAAGTGCATTGTGCTGTAGCGATACCCGACTGCACGCCGGTGCGACCTTCAACCAGATCAAAGCAAGCAGCAGGTGTGGGAATTGAACCGAGGATCCCAGGGTTCTGCAGCACAAGCATTCGCTTCACACGCTTCGAGCTGCGGCGCATTGGCACGCTCGGCCATCAATCCCCCTCTTGGGTCTGCGCCCATCTTTAGAATCGGGGCTCTCGCAAACGAAGCACATTTTGCAACTGAATTGGCAATATAGGCTACATCAGGATGCATAGCTGATGATGTGTTTTTGCTTACGACGGTGCCTTTAGGTCTTTCACCTTCACACATGCTTCTGTTCATTGATAACATAGTTTAGTTTCAGAAGTGCTTTACGACTTGTCACCACAATTACAGAGACACAGGCCCCTCCCATGTATTTTGCAGGCAATCAGACAAATCAGGTTAAGCTTTTTCACGGTTTAAGAGAAAAACAAAAATCTGGCTCCAGCATTTTGGTCATACCGATCTTGTCACATGTAACCCCCAAAGCGCCACGACTCTAACTGGAGGAATCATGAGAACGGTGTTCCTTCAGTCCCCTATAGTCTGTGACAGGTAAAGAACGAAGTAAAAGCTCCTCCCACCCCTTTCCACTTCAGCGGAGTGAACGATGGAGAGGAGGTTGCCTCCTCTCCCGCATTCGCTCTACTAAAGTGGAGAGAAGTGGGAGGAGCTTCCACTTCGTTCTTGACCTGCCACCGACTATAGGGATTGATACTTTCGACCAATTCTACGCTTACACACTTTTGAGTGTAATCCGGAGTCACCCTGAACAAGCATTGTCCTGAGTCCAAAAACTTGTCGTATCACTTTTAAAATTTCTCATCAATGTCAGCGTTATTGATACTGTGCGTGCCATCCACCCTTTGACCTTACTGAGCTGCAGAAATCTCTTACAATACTATCATGTTGAATTGTGGATTGCATGCACAGTATCTAAAACGCCGACACGGACGAGAAATTTTAAAAGTGATATGACAGGTCATTGGACTCTGCACGACGCTTGTTCAGGGTGACCCCGAATTACACTCGGGAGTGTCTAAGCATCGAATTGGTTGAAATTGCAGATCACTAGGAAACCGAAAGAACACCATTTCCATGATTCATTGAGTGCGAGCCGGGGCGCTTTGGGGGTTTAGCAAGTGTTCTATTGAGGCCCGATCATGCTAGGATCCCGACAGAAAGTGTTGGGGTCAGACCGAGTTGGCTTCCGGAATTCCGGTTCGAGCTTGGTTGCCCTTGCGCGTCTTCTCAAAATGGCTCCTCTTGTCTCTGGCTTAGCGGACGGCTACATTCCGATGAGCCCCGTGGGGTCTCTGAGCCTGAGCAGCTCGCTGGAGCGTCCGTCAGCCGACCCGGGGTACCTTCCCATGGAGCCTCAAAGTCAGGGAGGCGGGGCCAAGCAGGGGGGTGGGGCCACGTTGGGGACCTCCCCCACCGTGGTGCACGCCATACCCTCATCCTCTGCTGCCGCGATCGGACTCACCGTCGTTTCCGGGGCGTACATGGATATGGCTCCCTTGTCGTCCTCGCTACCGAAGTCTGGTAAGCTGCCTCCTCTCTCTCTTTCCCATTTTAGAAATAGATTTTTGGCACTTGAGCTTCAAAATAGATTACCCGTAAAAATGGGGGGGGGGGGGGGGGGGAAGGGAAGGGGAAAGGGAAAGGAAGGAAGCGAGGATGTCAAACTAGGGTCTGTAATCCCATCACCGCACGTGTGCAGGCACCAATAGAGACTAAAGACCCGTTTACACTCTTGCGACCTCTTAAACCTGGGTTCCTTAAAACTTCTTAAACCAGATAACACACTGGCGCCATCTATTGGGAAGCAGTGTAAACTCGGCGGTCCGGCATATTTTTTTATTTCTCGCGCATTATCCTTTTTTTCTTAACGGCTCGAAAAACTTTTGTCAATGTTATAACCGAGCCTTTCTATGGGTATTACGCACATTTGACCTCGGAAATCCCGCAAAACCTTCGCTCTTGTGAAATGCAGTTCCAGGGTCACCGCATAGATGGCGCCACAATGCCAGTGTGTTCCCTCATTCTAAAAACATTTAAGAAGTTTTAAGAGATCTCGTCTCTCTCAGTCGTACTCGGTCGCAAGAGTGTGAACGGGCCTTAACTTTCAGCTTGCAACCATACATATATTGAAGAACAAAAATTGGCAGCAGCCTTTATCTCCTACAACACAGGGGATGCAGTGTTTAAGGAGCGATCATTTATATTTGTTTAGAAGGCATCGAACTCCATATGACATTACAGTGTCAAGTCGCGATGGTCCGTGACCCGATGTCACGTGACGTGGTCATGTGAAATGACATTACGTGATGTAGCAGTGTCAAGTCGTGGTGTCATGTGATGCTATGCCATCACATAGTTTGACGTCATGGGGCCTGACATAATGTTGCAAGACACTCCAGCATGTCACGATGCGGTTAGGTGGGGGGCATAGGGTCGCAAGACCTGCCGTCGCATGACGTGACTCCCGGGTTACACCCCAGTCTAGTAACATTGTTGACCGTGCAAATTGGCAAATTTCTAGGAACAGGGGCCTCCGTTACAAAACAATCCACGATTTGAAATCGAAAGGAGGCCTTTTTGTTTTTCTTAATTTTCCAGTTGGGGATAGCTGCACAGACTTCAGCGGCAGTTGGTGCTCTGCCCACAGTTTACAGGACGTGCCAAATTCAGCTTCACCGCTGTCTACCAGCCTAGAGGGCTTCCACCTGGACAAGGTACGACGGGTGCTCTGGCAGAGGAGGGAACTCCCTCCGGCCACCGTCGGCTGACCGATTGAAATGAGGGTCATTTGCATTCTTCTTTGTTCAGGTCAAGTCCTACTTCTCTCCGTCCGAGGACGACTCGGAGGCATACATCAAACCTGTGCGTGCATACTCTATTGGGAGCAGACAGCAGGTGAGCATCCCTGGGGGTCTCTCCATTTGAGTGTTACCCATAGTAGCGTGTCATGTCTCGGAGGAAGGTGGCAGACTCGCACCTGTTGCAGGACAACTCTGGTGGTTGTATTCTGAACTTGAGCACACATTGTTCGAAGGAACCCCTGCCGCAGAAATTGAAGTAAACAGTTTGCGGAATCTTAATTCTTTTATTGTTTTTATCTCAAGATCAGCCGAGCAACAAACTAACATTCCCTCCGCATTTTTTTTTTTTTGTCATTGTGATTATTGGGACGGTCTACAGCACCTTCAGGTTCTCAATTTGTTTTTCTTTTATGGCTTTCTGATTGCAAAGAAATGTAAATAATGCAGGTTATGCCGGAAGTTTAAAAACGTAAAGCATCATTCCCGTTGCTTTGGCACTGGTTGTATTTTTGTGTCCATTTGTTGCCTCTCATTCTTTAGGCTTCTTTACTGAATTGGAATGACTAGCTTTTCGCTTGCCTCCCGAGGAAGTAGACACGCCGGTCTATTTCAGAAAAGTTTTGACTTACATTCATGCTAGGACTGTAAAGCATACGCAGTAAATCGGGCTTCGGGCGCGGCAAAGAATTCGATTCACTGATTCTATTTCAGTCGCCGACCGATTTTCTCGGACACCGATAATTCAAACCTAAAAGAGGAACCGTGACATGCCCGATAGAAATAGTGCTTATTCACGGCCGATGTTTTGAACAGCTTGAAGTCCAAAAGTTTATTTTTTCTGAAAACTCGTCGCGAGCGATCAGTGGGAAACACCACCAAGAAGCCGCCATTTTAGATTCTATGTTGGCTGCACTTAGATTGGCTCGGTTTGGCAGCGCTACTTGAGTACTGTATGTCCTACTGCTAGCTGACGACATGCTGCGGCTTTTTTGTTTTTCTAGCTGCGCGTCATTATCATTGTTACCAGTTTGCTTTGTTCGTTCACCACTCTGAGGTCGTGAACTTGCGCCTCTCATCTCGTCTCAATGAATCATGTTTCTGGACTACGCTGGCTCAGACGTCATGACCCCATCTGTTCTTCCGCCACCGCAAAGTGTCACTACAATGACTTAAAGGAAGTAGTGTAGTTACCGCGTAGCCTGCAACATGCATCGGGACTGGTCGCTCCTTGGAAGACGGTGTAGGTGGCGGTTTGATCCGCAGCTCCGTTAGGGTGCCTCCTAACAGGCAGATAGAGGCACCCTAACACGCTTCACAACTAATATAAATACCTCAAAAACATTTGTTTCCAGTGAACTTCCAAGGACATGGTGTTTGTAGGTAAATAAAAATGTGAAACTAGCAGACGACAGTGTAGTCGACAGCTGCGAATTGGCCTGAGCTGGCCGGAGCCAAGCTGGCCAAGCCGGAGCCATAGCCGGAACAATGGTGCTGCAAGCGCCAGCGCCACCCATGGCCGTCTTCCAACGCTCTGCCACTTCTCCATTTTCGTTCGTTACACTACCTCTTTAAGCCACTGTAGTGTCACTAAGAAGCGTGGAAAGTACTCGACCGTAATGCTAGAAAAGAAGGCAGTGATTCACAAGCTAATAGAAAGTGGTTGAATACAAGCAGAAGCGTAACTTTGAAGCAAGTCACTATCGACGGCTTTTTTAAGCTCTTAAAGGCAAGTTTTTTAATCGGCCATTTTTTTCAGACTGCTGTAGTACTCGGGACGTTTTTTCAGTCCCCGCGAAGTTCGAGAAATCGGTCGGCGTCCGTAACTGTACATTGTAAGAAATAGTTGCGTAGCATAGCGATTTAATGGGGTGTTGGTGAACGCAGGTCAGCAGCAAGAAGAACCACTTCTCAACCCACCTGGACCAGTCACGAGTGCGAGCGTACTCGGTAGGCAGTCAGGTGGCTCCGGCCGCCCTCCGGCGTCGCCGCCAAAAGGAGCATACGGACGTGGAACTGGGCATGCTGCGCCACATGGACGCGCAGATGGCCAAGAAGTCGTCGAGCGTGCCGGCACTGCCGGACGGGGCAACGCCACGTCAGTCACGGACTTCGGACTACAATGAGGACCTGATGGAGATCAACTACGATCGGAGCAGCTCCGGCAGCAACTCTGACGTCACGGCCGTGCCGCCACCCCCGAAGAAGGAGTCAACAGCAGTCGCGACAGAAATTGCCCGGAAATTGAGCGTTGCCGGCAGCCCGGCAGCAGTGAAGCCGTCCAATTCCTCGGACAAGTACTACATGTTGATGTGCGGACCCGAGCTCGCGGAGTTCAACTCCGGTCGGGGCGGCGGTCCGGACGCCGTGACTGCGACGACACCTCCAAGGAAGGAGTCGGTCGCCGCGGAAGGTGCGCGAAAGCCAAGCACCGCCGGTAGTCCGGGGGCGACAAAGGTCGGCAATCCGCCGGACAACGACTACGTGCTGATGAGCGGGGCAGAGGGCGGGGAGAGCGGCCCGAGCTCGCTGAACAAGAACTACCTGTCGCACTCATTTTCTCGCCGCGACGCGTCTGTCTTCTCGAACGGAGGGCAGCGCAAGTCCGTCGTCGAACCCGATGCGGGGAAGGAGAACTGTCCGAAGGGGCGTGCGAGCTATGCCGGGCTGAGCGCGGCGAGGCGAGACTCGGCGCCGTCCGTGCACGTGCTGAAGGAAGAGAACAACACGGCCGCGAGCCTCTCTCCCGGTCGATTGTCCGACGGAGCAGGAGGCGGCAAAGTAAACTTCGACTATGTCCCGATCGAAATCTCTGGCGGGAAGGGTGCATCCTTTGTGAGGCCCTCGTCCAACGGCGCCATTCCCAAGAGCAAGGCTATGCCGGCGCGACCAGAGTCGCCGGAAGCGCAGCAGTTGGGAGAGTATGTCAACCTAGACCTGAGCAAGACGTGGAAGTGGACGCAGGCGGTCAAGCCCACCGTCGCGGCAAGCATGGACCCCATTGGCGTAGCCTCCGGCGCAAACGGCAGTTGGGGCGGCTATTCGACGTCCAGGGTGCACCCCACCCCGGTGTCCGGCGACGCCGGTGTGGCGTACGCGGTGACGTTGGACCCGTCCGAGCCACAGCCGCCGCCTGAAGCCAACTATGAGAACATCTCCCTTAGAAGCGGGGCCGCCGTCGTAGAAGCGCCGGCAGAGAGGGTCCTGAACTATGCGTCGCTCGACCTGGCTCCGCCGAGTGGGGAGGAGGGGGCGGCGGGAGCGGTGCAGCGGTCTCCGCGGGCTGCGGCGGCGGTCGCGGAGAGTGCCGCGGAGGAAGGCGCCGGCTTCTCGTACGCGGAGATCGACTTCACGAAGTCGGAGGGCCTGCGCAACGTGTCGGGAGCACTTAGGGAGGGGCGCCTGTAACCGCGCTTTGTGGTCTCGTCTTGCTGCCCCCGCTAGTCAAGTGTGAAGGTTTAGTTGTTCCATTTTTTTTTGTCTTTTTCTTTTTCTGCCTTTTTGTTTTGTCTGTGGTGACGACGACAATGGCGGCGGCGACAGAAACTTGGTAGGACAAGGTTGAAGGAAATGAAAAGGATCTGAACTCTGGTGTGTGAAGACGTGGCGGCGGGATCATTCCGGGTGGGAAAACAAGTCATATCACAAGGCAGGCGGGCGTACACTTGCTCACGTGGACATTTACTATTGCTGCCGTGCACTGTTCATATGGCGGGCTTTCTTAGGTTGGTTTATTTTCTTTACCTAGGAGTTTAATTTAATGCAGAGAATGTGCTTTTGTTTCCCAGTTGTGTTTGGTCCCAGCATCTGCTTGGAGGCAGTCCAACTGCCTCCGTGTTTTTTTTTTTTTTGTTTTTTTATGCAGAGACACGGTGTGCTAGAAGCCATTTTTGTGTTCTGTGGTAGTGACTAAAGTGCTTTTCCGGTGTGTATGTATGTATATGTATATATGCCCATGTCTGGTCCAGGAGTGAATTTCATCGTGTGGGTTAAGTGTATATATACATAGATACATACATGTGTTCTACTCAGTTTGTGAGTATAATCCTGTAAATGATATGTGGGATCGGTGGAAGCTCTGAGGGCTTTGTGGTGTAGATAGTAATGGGCGAGCAGCTTTTGTGCTGTCATTTTGTTGAATGCTGGCAGTTTTGTCCTGCTGCATTCTTTTGTTGTCTTTTTACAGGCGTTTCTGTTGTCTTCCAGTATTTTGTGGTTTACTGAGGCTGTAGCAATACATGGCCACCCTATATAATTTTTCAGGCCTTATTTGCACTCTTGCTGTCATATTCACTGCATGTGGGTGCATCTGGAAGTAAGTGTCAGAAATCTATAGGTAAAAGTTGTTTTCATAGGTGCTTTTGTCATATCAAGGGTCACAATAGTGGATGTCAAAAGAAAAACTGGTACTTTTAAAGCCCTTCAAAGTTTTTTTTTTTTTTTTTTTGCATGTACTTTATACAGAGGAGACATTCTCTAGTGGGCCAGAGTGATGGGAACTTGTTTGGGGTGTGCTGTTGTGAAGGCTGTTGCACCATGACATTGTTTGCTGTGGAATGTGAAATGTTTCTGGTGCTTACCTCGGGAGAAAGAGGAGTGCTGAGGTGTGTTTTTGGAAAAGAGAGTACTCACTTTTCATAACTGAACACCACATAGTGGCGTTCAGTTATGCCACGTGGTGCCCGTCGGAGCAACTCTGTTGGAATTATTGAAGCCGAGGTGGAAACTACTGTACCTGCAGAATCATGTACGCTTATGTTTGGCGGTTGACAGCAGCATTGGCTTCCACTGTTCTCGGTCTTTATATTCATACTCCATCTTGCAAGTTATGTGCGGTGCTATCAAAGGCACAGGTTCAGGAATGTAGCTACGTAAAATGCTTAGTAAGCATAAACACTGTCTCCTCAAAAAATGAAAAAATAAGTTTTGCACATAGCTTTTATGTTGTGCAAAGTAGTTCTCACAAGATTTGGTTGTCCAAGAAAGAATCAATGTGTTGGGCATTTGAAACATGCAAGTCTTGATAAGGTAACATAACATATATTGAATCTAAAATTCACATACATATGTCGATTCTTCACATAACGGGGGGTATTAGTAATGCCCCGCACGGAAACTGGATTTTTACCACGGTTCTTGAGGTTAAAACAAGTATAAAAAGAGCAGTTTCTTCAGCAACCTTCTTGCACATGTGCCCCCTACAATGCTGCATACAACTTTCAAGATTGAAGATAGGGTAGCATTCACTGGCCCCCTTCAGAGCCTCTTTAACAGGGTTGCTGGACGAGCTAAGCAAAGAGTGTATGGCAAATAGATTTTGGCATCGAGTTGTGTTTGATATGCTGTCCTACCGTACAATGTTTTGCAAGATAACAAATTTCTCGAATGGAAGTTTTGAGGATGTACATATTCCGACGTACCTCCTTTGGAGGATTCTGTGTTGAACTGAGCCACGAGTGAAGTTCGAAAGGGTGCAGAGATTAGGTGGGAGCCAAAGTCAGGCTGGCCTTGTTTTTGTCATGTGCAGGTGTTCAAATTTAGAAACAAATGTTACCGCAAAGACTACGGATAGTCACCAAAGGTGTCTCTGGACACGTCTTGTTCATTTTGTGTGCAGAGTTTCTTTTGAAACTGACGAAAAGCATCTCATGGAGCACGTTTCGGAACTGGTCGTTGAAATGGCAGCGAAGTCTCGAGCAGTTGCCTCCCCGAGGAGAAAAGTGGTTGGGATGCCTTGTAACATTACGGATTGCTCCTCTGCCTTTTCCGGTGATGCTCCCTGCTGCAGAGTTAGTCATTAGGAGATACATTTTTGTCGCTTGTGCTGCTTCTCCCAGGAGGCTGCTTCAAAGCAGTCCCCACAATTGTGCTGTCGCTCGTGAAGGTATCTAAAATAAAATGAAATTTAATCAGCTGTTGACCGTTCATGTTCAGTTGGGATACTTCAAATGTGGCTTCTCTTTCTAAGTTACCTTGGTGTGATGAGGCGTGCAGCAGTGGTGCTGCAGTAGCAGATAAGCCTTTTTGTTTGGTGTGGTCCTGTCCCATTTATACACCCTTGCCCCCCTGAGAAATTTGGTTTATTAGGTGTTAAACAAGTGTGACACTTTTTTGTTTTATATACTGTAGAGCCGGCGTAGCAGACAGGAACATGGCCATCAGAATAATGGTACGTGAAGAGCATTGTAGACCTTTCCTTAGAAGAGTTCTTATGCATTCTTCTATTTAATAACTGGTGACTGCACTTTTTTTTTCTTCTTGACAGCAACAGGAACAAATATTCTTTCTGCCGTTGATTACGGACCAGGATGCGTGATGCTATTTATTTTTTGTTGATCCTGCACCACCCAAATAACTAGTGTTGTAGAAAACTTCCCGTGTCCGAAAACGGCACGCATTTGCCACTGCTTTGTTGAGTGGACGATGCTTAAACCAAAAGTTTTAAGAATATTGTCGATTTTAAATTAAAATATACATTCGCTGCTCGGAGCCAATAATAATGTATAGAATAAATTTAACTTTTTTCCCTATTTTTGCGCTATATTTTATAAGGCATACCACAGCCTACTAAAGAGAGTAAAGAAAGTAGTTCAAAGTTAATTTGCACCATTTCTTGTCACGGTTGCTAAGGTATCGCAGTGGAACCCTGTACCCATTTATTGGTATACTGGAATGATGACTAGAAGTTGGAGTTAATGTTCACATCGGGGAATAAATAGTAAACACTGGCACAGTTCTTCGCAACGACGGCGGTGAGACCAGCAAAGTCTGTCCTTGATGATCGCACAACAGGTATGTTGCACGCTACTCTCGAGTATTACCACAAGAAAAAGAAGAAAATTGCTCGAATATCGAGCAGTGTGTTGGCACGACCACTGGTGTCCGCTCGCGGTATCCTTCCTTCGTCTGGGGTTTGGGCACCTCACCGCTGAGAGATGAGATGCATGAGCACATTGGACGCCACACCCAGCAGTAGAATCCAGAGCGGTAGCGCCACGAACACCCACGGCAGTTTCGAGGTGAACTGGAGCCGCGTGCAGAGGCACACTTGAAAGGCGGACTTGAGGAAGAGGCAGAAGAGCGCCCAAACCTTGCGTCGGATCGCGGAAGGGGGGTCGTGCCTCCGCTTGCACATGGTCATGAGTTGGAACGCGAGGAGGAGGAAAAGCTTAATGTCGAATGCCCACATAGGGACAAACACGATAAACCAGTTCCACTCGATTTTCTCGTCTAATTTCAGCGCAAGCAGGGTGAAAAAGACGGTGAACAAGAACCATGTCAACAAAACTTTGTGAAGCACCGCCATTTTTTTGCGGAATGAGACAGACGACAGATGCGACCAGATGCGACAGTCGCGACCTAGTCGCGACAGACGGCACCGGATATGCCGGATCAGCGCCTCCTCTGGCCGGATATACGTCGGCGGCGGCTAGCGGCCATTTTTGGCGGCCGCGTCTGATTGGCGCGAAATTCAAAATCAAAAGCTCAAAGACCTCGGTTGACGATTTTTGGTCCTCAATCTTCGGTATGAGGCTGAACCCTTCCATTTGTGTTAGTCCGAGGAGCCTAGGTCTAATAAGGGGCTCTTTATGTATTATTCCGTACGGCTACGGGAGGCACTCACTCAATCGAATGACGTTTTAGCGAACGCCGACGTTTCGCCGAATGACACTTTAGCGAATAGTCGGCCGCCATGAAGCGGCATTTTCGGGTAGGCCAAGTGGGTTAACATGTTTTAATAAGCCGCCACAGACTGCCGCCGCGAAGTGGCGTAAGCGCAGCGCGAGGGGTTGGGTTAACATATGTGCCCCCGTTGTTCGCTAAAACGTCATTCGCTCATAATAATAATAATAACTTTATTCAACGTATCACATATGGTGATAAAGCTGGAGAAAAAAGCTGACAAAGCAGCTTGACGGGTCTCCAGCCTCCTCAACAGGTACACAGCGGGGCCAAGTTTCATACAAGCAAGAAAAAAGCAAGAATCAATCTGATCAAGGTGTTATATTGATATTGATATTATTTATTGCACTTGAGAGGTAAAAATGTACAGGCGTGCTGGTGTTCGGGGAAGGCTGACGCCCATGCACTAGTGTGCCCACAACCCCCCCCCCCCCCCCCCCCCCCTTCCCCCAAAGCGTAGCTGCCCTTAGCAGGCAGGACTCCCCATGCCGTAACGTTCGGGACATCACGGGCTGGAGTCTACCTGTTCTTCTGTTCACTTTGTGGGCATCATAAAGTTCCTGTTGGTTTGGTCCCATAATCCTGCAGAACAGCCGGACAGATGCTACTTGCTGTCGCTGGTGCAGGCTCCTCCAGGCTTTAGTGTCAGGAGGTCGCTAGAAGGTACTTCTCTGTAGGGGAGTGGGACTGACGGCGGGGGAACACTGCAACGATAGAAAGTGTAGGCGGCACACCGTTGCACGCCTTGTAGTGTGGTTTGGAGATATTTTTGCTGGGGCTAGAGGGCCGTTTTCTTTTGAGGCAAGACAAAGGCCAACTTCAAGACCTGTGGTCTTGCCGTATGTTCACACAGTATCCCACGTTATCAAGAAACTTGCCAGTAGGTACAACGCACCAGTAGTGTTCTCGGCACCATCCAAGTTGTCGCGATGGACCTTTTCCGAAAGGCGTTCTGCGCACGCGCGAGCGCCCGATGCCAAGCGGCGGAAGTCGGAACGAAAAATCGAGGAAATTCGGAAGGAGGCTGTATATCAGCGAGTAGAACACGTAACTGCAGCATATGTATAATTGTGTTACACAAGAAAAAGAACGTCGACGGAAAGGAAAACGTGACGTTTGGGTGGACGCCACGGATGCGCCTCTTTAAATCGCGTTGGGCAGGCGCCGCTGCTCAGAGAGCGAAGAAACTGGTAGCGTAGCTCCCATTATCGATTGATAGCCGCAGGTAGGTCACTTCCTCGATTTTTAGTTCGTGCAGCCACCGACTGGTGCCGTCGGTATGTGGAAAAGGTCCATTGCGTGCAGCTGTTAATCGAGGTGGACGTCCGGGAGCGCGATGTGAGGTCATACACCGCACCCGGTATGTTGCCTGCGCCTGTGGGGTGGTGTGCCTGATCCCCTCCTGTGTCAGTGTGTACGTTGGACAGACTGGGAGGTGCGTTAATGTCCGGTCGAGGGCACTCCCTCTTTCCTTGAGCTCCTCTTCGTCTCGCCACCTCGTGATCCATTGCGACAGGTCCTCCCCAAAGGTCATCCTGGTGAAATCCATAATCCCACACTGCCTGGTGATAGTTAGGGGAACAAAACTGGCTTAAAAGGGCGGGAGGACTCACATTTTTGTCTCTTTAGGCTTAGGCTAGGTGGCGCAAGCTACTCACGATGGATGGGATGAATGGATGAATCCGGCTGAGCCCTGGGCGGTAGCTTACACCATCTAGCCATTTTGTTTTACCATTTAAGCTCAGAATATTTAAATGTGAAAACTATAATCACTCCGCACTGCAAAGAAAATGAGGCTATAAAACCCCCTTGCCATCAATTAACAAGAAAATACCTAGTTTTCTCTCGCTTTCTGCCACCATTCACTTAATCTTTGCTTGGTAACCTCTACTGTCTTGAAATTCACTCTTCCTTCGGTGTCTCTAAAACCCAATGACTTTATTAAATCTATGTTGTCTTCGGTAGGCATAGGGTGAAGCCCTTTGCAGTAGAGTATCAAGTGCTCAGCCATCTCGTCGTCCTCTCCACAAGCAGTGCACACTGTATCTATTTCCTGGTACACTCTCCGGCAATATGAAAGACCCACTGGGAGCGCGTGGCCGAGGCGGTGGATGGCGGGGGCGCTGCGAGCGCTCCGGGCAATTCCATTCTGCTTCGAGGGGAGGACGCTCACTCGGGCTCAGATGAAGCGAAACGCGCTTATCAGTTTGTGCCGAGTCCCGACTGAGCGTCCTCCCCTCGAAGCAGAATGGAACTGCCCGGAGCGCTTGCAGCGCCCCCGCTAGCCACCGCCTCGGCCACGCGCTCCCAGTGGGTCTTTCATATCGCCGGAGACTGTACATCGCTCTGTATGTTCTGGTTCGCAAACACCCGTCCTCGCCTCAAACAACAATGAGCTTATGGATGGATGGATGGATGGAATACGGCTAAGCCCTTTGTATCGGGCGGTAGCATACGCCACCTAGCCATTTTGTTTTACCATTTAAGCTTATGATGAATTCCGCTCGCAGATCTCGAGCGCTCCAAAAGCGCTCCATTTGGAGCGCGCATATTCCGCTCGCAGATCTGGCTCAAGTTGGTCATCTTCCGCTCGTAGATCTCTGGCAGCGCCCGCTCCACGGAGCGCCCCAAACTCCGCCGAACTCGCCGAACTTGCTCTGCGGGTTTTCACGGATCTCTCCGGAAGCTGACAGAGAGGCCCACGTGATTTCCGTCTAAATCGGCGGTGGGCATGCGCGGCGAGGTTGGAGAGGTTGGAGAGATCGGCGGGCCGGTCGGGTTGTGGAGTTGGATCTGTTCGGGTGCGTCGGTTGTTTACTCTGGATTGTGACGGCTCGAACGCTTCTACCTCGCGTAGATCAGGGATAAAAAGCCGGGAATGTGGAGCGTGGCAAATCGTAAGCGCTGACGTCTGTGGTCGTGAGAGGAAGAACGAGAAAAAGAACGACAGAAAAGCCGGAGGCAGACGCAAGGTTAGGCCTATTCATTCTGCAGCCAGTGATTGTTTACCTTTTTACACTGCATTCCGTCGGCGTTTTCCCGTGAAATAAAGCAAGAAGTGGTTAGGCAACGACCGCGCAAGTGATGGTTTGTTACCTGTGTTTATTAAAGTCGTACTACAAATCTGAACTCCACCGCTGGCAATCGCTGCATGTCCGTGCCCCGCCGCTTCGAGGCGGCCGAAAGGTATGTGACGGTGCCGAACGCGGACGTCTTCGTTATTTGTGACATGGGCGCCGCGGTGCGTATAATTTCGCCCGGCCTGTGTCGCGTGTTACTTCTGCAGCTAAGCAGTGACAGTCGTCACTGGTCGTCGGAAAGATCAGCCGGCTGAGGCGTTGGTGGGCTTGTCAAGTTCGAGCACCGGCCATTTTGTACGGCGGAGGGAGAAGGGGTGGGGAGGGGTGTGGGGGAGGTCGCTCCAAAAATGCATCTTCCCCTCGTCGATTCGGAGCGGGTCCCACGGAGCGGAATTTCGCCTCCCTCGCGGATTTTGGAAAGCGCTCCAGATCTACGAGTGGAATTCACCATTAGAATATTTAAATGTGAAATCTATATTCACTCCGAAGTGCATAGAAAGTGAGGCTATGAAACCCCCTCGCCATCAGTGAATAAGAAAATACCTAGTTTTCTCTCGATTTCTGCCACCATTCACTTATGGATGGATGGATGGATGAATACGGCTGAGCCCTTTGGATCGGGCGGTAGCTTACGCCACCTAGCCATTTTGTTTTACCATTTAAGCTTAGATTATTTAAATGTGAAATCTATATTCACTCCGCAGTGCAAAGAAAGTGAGGCTATGAAACCCCCTTGCCATCAGTGAATAAGAAAATACCTAGTTTTCTCTCGATTTCTGCCACCATTCACTTAATCTTTGCTTGGTAATCTCTACAGTCTTGAAATCCACTCTCCCTTCGCTGTCTCTAAAACCCAATGACTTTATTAAATCTATGTTGTCTTCAGTAGGCATAGGGTGAAGCCCTTTACAGTAGAGTATCAAGTGCTCAGCCGTCTCGTCCTCCTCTCCACAAGCAGTGCACACTGTATCAATTTCCTGGTACTTCACTCTGTATGTTCTGGTTCGCAGAACACCCGTTCTTGCCTCAAACAGCAATGAGCTTCCCCTAGAATTGTCATAAATGCTTTCTTTGGCAATAACTCTTTTGTTTAATCTATAGCTTTCCAGAGCCGTCTTTGTCTGCATTCCCTCTAGCCACCGATATCTTTCTGTGGCCTTAACTTTCTTCTTAACTGAGACTTGCTCTTCCGTATCTTCGCTATAGCCCAAAAACTTTCCTCTTAATTTCCTAGTGCGCTGTCTCCACTTGGTGTCTACACTCCTCATGTATAAATAGCTGAAAACCTTTCGTGCCCATTGCTCCCCGTCCATTAGCCTCAACCTATCCTCAAATTCTACCTTGCTCACCGCTTCCCTGCTCTCAAATGATGCCCATCCCATGTCTCCTTGTACTCCCTGGTTTGGCGTTTTGCAATGTGCCCCCAAAGCCAGTCTACCTACTCCGCGCTGTTTTATTTCTAGTTTCGCATGCACTTCGGATTTCATGCATAGCACTGCGTTTCCAAAAGTCAAGCCAGGCACCATGACCCCTTTCCAAATCTCTCTCACCACCTCATACCTGTTGTAATTCCAA